TGCTGAATAAAGATAAGCGGCGTTTGTAAAGTCGAATTTAAATTCAAAAATTGGTGAATATAATGATTGTATGAAATTTGATAATATTCTTCCCGAAACGACAAATTATGCAAATATTTTATTTATTTTATTTATTTACGGGCAAGCCCATTCGAGAAATAAATTACATTTTTAAATTATAATTAAAATGTAGTGAAATATATATGGTCTCAAGATCGTTAATCTTAATATTCTTGGAATACAGCTGCTAAAAGTATGGTTTAAACGATAAAAAGGCACATAAAATGTTTGTTGCTGTCGAGTTGAGCGCGTTGGAACATAAAGATTTATTTTTGTTAGAAGTTCAGTACAGCTGCGTCTGTCATTGATAATTTTGAAAAGTAATGTCAGGTCTCTCTGTTTCCTCCTAGTTTCCAAAGAGGGAATATTTAGATAATTCTCTATCAAACCATACTCGCAAAGGACACCCAATTTATAGGCTATGTATCTAAGAAATGTATGTTGCTTTTCTATGTATTTGCTGTCCGTTATGTAATGTTGAGACCAGACAGAAGAGCAATAATCTAGGTGAGATCGGACTAGTGAACAATAAAGGATTTTAAATGCAGTTGTGTCATTAAAATCATGTGTTAGCCTTTTGATAAAACCTAACATTTTCATGGATTTATGGATAGCCTTAGGAATGTGTTGAGTGAAGCTTAAAGTGGGATCTAGAATAACTCCAAGGTCTTTAATTTGATTAACAGACTCCAAGATGTGACCATTTAAGTTATAATCAAAAGTAGTAGTTGGTACATGGGATCGATAAAAGCGCATGACATGACACTTTATGACATTCAAGTCCATGCCATTTAAGGAACGCCAGTTTGATAGATTATCAAGGTCAGACTGAAAATAGAGGGCATCATAAATGGTTTTAATAACTAGGAAAAGTTTTAAATCATCTGCAAACAATAGTGCTTTGCCATACTGAAAACAATGAATGATGTAATTTATAAATAAGTTGAATAATAAGGGACCTAGGTGTGATCCTTGAGGAACACCTGAGGTAACTTGAAATGAGTTCTGTTCTGTTGCAGTATGGCCCATTTATGCCATATTTATCGAGCTTTTGAAGTAAGAGAGAATGGTTGACCCTGTCAAAATCCTTAGAAGTCAGTGTACACAGAATCAATCTGGCAACCCTTCTCCAAAGCTTCCGACAGGAAGTCGACGTAGGTAACTAGATTTAATTCAGTCGATTTCCCAGCACAAAAATTATATTGATGATCCGTTATGATGCCAGAGCAGTCATAGGTAAGGTAGTCTGTTATAATATTCTCAAAAACCTTAGGTATAGTACTGAGAATATAGGTCGGTAATTTTGACTTGCTACCCGATTTGTATATTGGGGTGACATAGGACAGTTTCCAATAATCTGGAAACTCACCCGTGGCGATAGATTTATTGAAAATATAGAAGAGAGGGCGAGACAATACGAAGCTGCAATTTCTGAGTAGGATGGAAGGGATAATGTCAGGATCTGAACCTTTCTTTATATCAAGATTAGATAATTTCTCGTAACTGGTCGAAATAGGAATGTGGTAAGAGGAAACATTAAGTTTTGATTCAATATAGTTAACATTTTGATTTAGATTTTGATTAGTGTAAACTGATGAAAACTGCTTGCCAAACAGATTTGATACTTCACTGCCAAGGTTCATATTATCAGGTATGGTGTTATTAGATCTTTTAGTACTTACAAAATTCCAAAAGGCTTTAACAGAAGTTTCAACAGAATGTATGTAATTTGAATAGCATTCTCTAGATATAATCCTGCATTGTAATCTTTCATTTTAAATAAAAACTTGCCTAACATAAGTTAGATTAAATATTTCATTTTGTTTAAAGTTTCATTTTACTATATTCAAATCCTACTGTGTCTGTAGTCATGCAGAAAGTAAAGTCTGTTACCTCTGTTGGAATGAAAATCAGATACTCATGGTTTTTGACACTCTCTTATGCTCCTGTTCAGAATCTTCCACTCATCGAATTTTCATTCCAACCTTGTTACAGAACATACTATTCTGAGTTTTATTTATTTTTATTTTTTTATTTAAGATTTACATATACATTTTATATTTGACAGTTAGTCACAATAATTTAAAGAATGAAAAATAAGGACCTAGTGTGCTCACCTGTGTGTGCTATAGCATACAAATAAACTAAAGTATAAATTTACAAAATGTGTTGTGACGATAACAAAGAAAAAAAAACAGTTTAGATATGTAATTTACACATGGTAAATTATCATTTTTATAAAATGAAATATTAGTATTTTCAGTTTTTTTCTCTTAATTTTAGTAAAGATAAAAATATAATTATTTTTACTCAAGCCGAATATTACCAGACCGTGAGGTCTCTTTATCCATTAATGTGAATTAAGAATTTGTGACACAATGATTCACTGAAAGAATTTGATGGGAAGTTCCTTACTTCTAACTAAAATATATTCAGGGAAAAAGTACTAGGTACAAACTAAACAAGTATATCTTATGACGAAGTCACTAAATTTTGCTCTCAATTAATTTTAAAAATGTATATTTCAATTAATTCCCGCCTGAGAACATGTAATTCTGTTTCCCAGGGATTACCGTTTTTCAACAATTGCGAGTACCCTCGTAGGTTAAAATATTCCTATATTTGCCGAAATCTGAATGGACATTTTGTAGAGTCGATTTCGTACCGATTATCTACCTTTATTTGTCAAGGTACTAGAAGGACATTTTTTATTTTTAAATTGTAAACAGTCGGCTGTAGTAGTGGCATCCCCACTCGGCTTTACCGAAAAGCATAAATTCAATGACATCTGGGAATTACGCCCTCTTGCTTGCCGGCCGCCGTAAGTTCTTCTACCCTCTTGATTGCCGACAACCGAAAACTATTCGCCCTTAGATAGTGCCCTTGTTAATGCTCCGTGAGTGCCGTGATTTCGAAAAAGTTCATTGATTAACCCCGTTTATCTGCTATCGTATATTATTTTTTTATATTGGCTTTTATATAATTAGTTGGGACACCCGTGCGACAAGTGAAAAATTTTGATTCATATCAGGATATTTTATTTCATCCCTCAGTGGGAAACCGTTGGCAATTTTTATTTGAGGCTGGACATAGGCTAGACTCCGAGTGCTCTTTGTCAACGACTATATCCAATTTCTCTTAAAAACCGCCCAGTTAACATCGAAGTGAGAGATTCAACCTGTTTTCAATTTTTTTTATTATTTTGTTTTATTTTCTTTTTCGGAGGTTCGATCCGTTCCCGGATTAGAGTACTCTCTCTTCTGATGACGTTATGTAATTTCCCAAAAAAACGTTTAAATTAATTTCCGCGCCTTACTTTGTGTAAAATTTATTTTCTTTTAATTTTTTTTTATTCAGCTGTATTTGAATCATTCCGTTCCCCGTCCACAATTAGTTATTGATTGAAGCCAGACGACTTCTGTAAAATTAAATTCACACACGCTCTCGATCGACTCTGGACAAATTTCAAAATATTATTTTCTACGACCGTCGTGTCCGCCGTCCAAAACACCGCATAAGTAACCATATTTCTCACTAGACGAAAATTTTCGCTTCCCATCGCTCGTAGTTAAGATACGAGGGGGTTCCGATAACTTGGTTTCATTGTACAGGAGGTTTTCCTTTCCTGATCATAAATTGAAAGTGGGTTAATGGTGATAACAGCAAACTTTATTTTTAATAAATTTTCCGCATACCGGGAGAGTCGTAATTACCCGTTTTTCTTTCATTTTTATGAGCTTCCCAGTTGGTAGCCGTTTGTTAAAAACAAAAATTTTAATTAATCCGTTTTAATTAATTGTCGTTTTTTTCGTTTTACTATTTTGACCAGAATATTTATTTTAATTTTGGAATTTTGGAGAAAAAAAAAAACATACCTTCCATTTATCGGGTGTACATAATTTCCGATTTAAATAATTTTCAATTGCAATAATTTAATTTTTCATAAATTTTCCGGATATAGGGATCCGTCAATATTTAAATTTTCCGTATACTGTGCGTTCCATAATTCCCAGACCGATTAGCCTCCTGCGCTAATGAACCATAAACATTTCCCTATATTTAAATAATTTTCAATTGTAATAATTTATTTTTCATAAATTTTCCGGATATAGGGATCCGTCAATATTTAAATAATTTTCAATTGCAATAATTTATTTTTCATAAATTTTCCGGATATAGGGATCCGTCAATATTTAAATAGTTTTCAGTTCTAATAATTTATTTTTAATAATTTTCCGAATATAGGGAGCCGTTCGTATTTAATTACTGTTGTTTTTTTTTTTTTTGTAAATATATATTTTATTACCTACTCCTGTGTTTCTCTTACTGCTGGTTATTAACCATTCTTTCAGGGTACTGTAGGGTACGAGGTGTAAAGGAGATAAGTGTTTTATTTTTATTTATTCTAGTATAGTGGCTACCTAGCAGTGACCGCCTGGAATTATTTTTACCTCCACTGAGTTCACCTTGAGTACACTCTGGTGTACCACAGGGTCGCAGAGCGCCACACAGACTCGCTGATTCACAGTAGGTGAACCAGACGCCTGTCACAATCTTTATAAATATATGATTCACTCAAGCACAAAAATGGAAGTGAACGGTGCCATTTTAAAATTCAATGCTAAAATCGGTGCCATTTATTTTTGTGTGTGACACACTTTTGCCACTTTTAATATAAACATGTATTTCAATAACACCTTATATTTAAAAGATTCTACCTTGTATTTAAAGGTTTCAACATTACTATTGTTTTTACAATTCATTGGTCTCCTTCATATAAATAATTGATATTAAATGTATTACTGGTAAGAATTGTATAGATTGTTGCATACATTTTTAATTTGTCAAACATTTTTATGATTTATCATCCATAAAAAGTATTCAATCCATTACAAAAGTAATAATTAAATGATTAACTAAAAAATGTATATTATACTTACAGATGTATTATAATAAGTCTGTCCATGCTCAATTTTTGACACTAATTCTAATTTCAAATCAGAACAATCAGATTTTAAGTTTACCAACAACTTTTCATTCTCATTTTTCTCTTCTTCATCTTCCTCCTCCACCTTTTTCTCTGAAATATGGACATGTTGTTGTTTTCCCCAACACTTTATATTAACCCTGAAAATTAATAATTGTCCTGTTATGACTCAACATTTTTGAAAAAAAAAAAATTAGTTTACTAAAATATTGAAGCTTTTTATCCAATAATTTTGTTGTGTACTTTTAATTTAATCTGACTGTATATTTCAATACTTGATTTGTGTGGTTTACATGTCAATAAAAATAACTTACTTTTTAGCTTTAAGATCCAAAATAAAATATATGATTTCTTCAGTTTGTGGTTTCTCTATGGTTTGTTGTAAAATACATTTATCTTCATGACCATCGAGATAGGGATTTACGCCATCATTGATAGTTTTATCTAAACTGAAACCAAACTATTTTTTCCTTTAAAAAACAGCTTTATAATAAGGGATATTGTGATGCAACAGAATATAATTTAAATTTTACTGTTTGGTTCTAAACCATGGAAAAATTTGTCAGATTACAGTTAATCACACTATCTCTTGAAAATAAATATTGAAATTTCATTCAAAAATTAAACTGCATACTTACTAGTGCCGATATATTTTCAGGTTTTGTGGTAAAATTTGTTAATTCTACAGAAAGTGAACCTCCACTATAAAATCCAAAATTGCTCAATGGAATAAATTTGCGGGCATCATTCTGAAAATTACCTTTACTGATTATTAAATATTACATAGCATTTCTATTACTGTTTATAAATCAAGATTTAGCCAATTTATTTTATCAACTTATTTTAAGTAATTGCTTTTATTAAACCAATTCAAAATGTGTATTATTTTATTCAAATTGTACTTATCTTGAACATAAACATAGGCATGATTAATTACCAATAAAGGCAGTTTTTAAGCAATTATAAATAAGCAAGATAAGTGTTAAATGATTGCGTTCTTACTGTAGAAAATTAACATTGTTATAAATTACCGTAATTTGTAAATTATGTTTCCTTCCCCAACATAATGTCACAGTGGCAAATATGGTGAATATATTAATGATAAAATTCATTTTGGTAATCCTCATCTATACGATTGTTTGGAAAGCGTTAAATGCATATTTCGACATAAAACTAATTATCTTCTATTCTTTTAAGTCCTAGGACTTGAACATTAATAAATAGGTGTAAAAATTAAGAAAAACTTTCACTTTTTCACTCTCGTTTCTTGATGATCGACTTAAAAAATTAAATATGGCTCTTATATTTGACATTTGACATGCTTGACATTCGCATATATGACGCATGGCACATTTGACGGTAGCTGCCAATGCTATGGTAATATAGATTGCTCGTAGTAGATTTCAGTTGTAAATATACCATTTACAGAACCGGTTTAGAAATTAGAAGTATTTTCTTGTCATTAGGATTTGAACATTTTAAATGTACATTTTATGAATAGCAAATATATTTTTAGAGATAGTTAATAGTTTATGTATGTTAATTTAAACTAGTGTAGGATGTTACTATGAAATTAGAATGTCAAATTTGTCAACAAAATACCATGGTCCTATAATAAGGCAACAATTTATAAAATTAATTTTATTCAGTAATGAAGAGAACTTTTTTCTGTATAATTATTACTAATTATTAATATTATTTTAGTAAGCATCAGTGTAATATAATAATTAACTTTTTTGAGTAGATTTAGTAAGTAACACATTCAAATTGTTATTTTTATACCAAGTTATTCTTTTATAGAACTTTTATATTGTGTTCAAATTGAAATGTTAATGATATTTGGTATAACAATAACGTTTAATAATAATTATTGCGTCTGGGTCCAGAATTAAAAATATGATTATCATTAATAGGAATTTTGACGTTTTATACCGCAACTTTTTGAGCATTTCGGAAAATTAAGTCTTTTTATTTTACGTACCGACATTATCCACTCGGTAAAATTGAAATTAAACACTGTGATATTAAAACACTTTGTAGCAATTTTAGGTAATGTATCTTTTATTGGCTCCATTTAAAAGTGAAAACTGCGGGCCAGGGACGGCTTTGCCTGCGGCACTATCCACCACAATTTGACCCACTTCTACAATAACTCACTAGCCTGGCTTGGTAGGCGATGGCGATGTTATGTTATGTTGGGAATTGGGTGTTAAATACACTGCGATCTAAAAGATGTTGTGTCCCCTTCTGTCGCTAATGCACCAAGGAAATGTCTCAATGCCTATAACGACCCTTCCAATCCTATTTTCTCAAGGAAGTGTAGGATTTGAAGTGGCATCAAGTTCGGTAAATCTCCCTCTTCTATTTGATATCCTCCTAGATATAGTGCCCTTGGATTCTGGAGTGCTACACATTCAGTTTGGATGGGAATGGAGGTTTCGTCCTCCTCCTCCTCCTCACAGAATCTGCACACACTATTCTCTACTACTCTCAGTTTACTTAGGTGTCCTTTTAGTCGGCAATGCCCGGTAAGGATCCCTGTTACAATACGTAGCCTGTTCTTGCTCAGGCATATGAAGGCTTCCGATCTTTTCTGGTTATATTCACCCAGAAGTATCTTGGCCTATCTCAGCCCCAAGAGATTGTTCCAATTATCGGTTCTTCTACTGCCCAATTCTTTTTTAATATCTCCTAATATTATGTTACTGCTGATACCGCAGAACGGACAAAGGGTGTTTGAGCCCCTTTCCTTGCAAGACTATTTATGATCTCGTTACCCTGTACTCCGTTATGTTCCGGGACCCAAGTGAGAGTAACTCTATTTTTCTCGCCTAGCTCATTCAATTGTTCTAGGCATCTCCAGGACATTTTTGAACTTCTACAATAACTCACTAGCCGAGCGTGTGAGATAGTGCAGGTCTACACTAAATCATGTTCACCGTGGATCCTCTAATTTGGTCTACAACATCATTACAAGTGATAAAACATGGGTATACTGCTATGATTCCGAAATAAATCTACAATCGTCAGTTTGGGTCTTTGAAAATGAGTCGGCTTCAACAAAGGGTGTTTGTGAAAAAAACAGGAACAAAAAGAAATGTACCCACTTTTTTGGATGATAGATGTACTGTTAATTCAGAATGGGATACTATACAGTTTTTTTTTACCTCAGGTTCTCCAAAAAATTCGCGAATAACGTCTAAGAGGAAGGGTCATCTTGCATCAAGATAACGTATAGAAATAACGGGTCATTCGCTGTATAGTTCAAACCTATCTAGCACCTTATCACTTCTTTTTATTTCCGCTGGTAAAGAATAAATTACGGGTTTTCGTTTTACATCGGCGAAAGAAGCGGTAGATGCGTTTAAAAATGAAATAAATAAACTACGGCTAGAAGATTGGAGAAAATGTTTGCAAGAATGGTTTTCACGGATGCAAAAATGCATTGACTGTGGGGGAGAATAAGGAAAAATTATAAATAAATGTTTATTATAAATAATTTTTTTTGTAAATAAACTAGGTTTTACTTTACTATGCTCAATGGAAAGAAAGCAGATCTAATAGTAAGTCAGAAAATATACTTTTTTCTCTTTTAATATATCTTTATAAGTTGAGTTTCTATTTAGGCAGATTTCCATAAAAGGAAGGTTACTTTGTCTCGGAAATACGCTTGTTTTACCATTTTTTTTTTTTAGTTAACCAACTAATTCTCATTCATCGCTAAATTAAACAATAATTAAGGCATTGCAATAATTATTGTCAAAAGAGTTTGCAGCAAACTTTAAAATTTTAAAAATATAGTAACTTTTAGTAACATTATTAACATTAGTAAGAATAAAAATAAGTGACCAATATAGTGTGGTTACATCTCCTACCAAAGTTGTTTAAAAACTCATATCAAAGTTGTAGTACATATTGCGATCATGTGTTTCATATAGTATTATTTCTGAAACGAGAGTGGTCTAAAATTATTTACATCTGTCTGTCATAAAAATTCTTTAGATCTTTTAATATTATTTGACTAATGTCGAAACTAAACGTTACAACACAATTTTTTTTTTTTTCAAAATAACTATCATAAACTCGTTTTGTGAAGTAATAAGGTAATTACTTTTTTTAAAATATTTAAATGCTGAAATTTTATTTTACAACAAATTTTGGCCAGAACGGCTCTGTTCAAGGAGCAGTGTGCAGTGACATGGCAGTGACACGCTTTTAGGTAAGCAATCTATATAACTATATATTTCATTGGTTTACACTACTAAAAATAATGATTAATAAAGGTAACTTTATTGTCCAAAGTCGTTTAAGCTACTACCTACTAGATGTCGCAAACACAACTAGGCATTTAATTTTTATATTACTATAATGAAATGTTTAAAATAATTATCCAACTAGATTTTATCTAATACGTTACAAGCTTATTTAATACTTTTCTAGATATATATTTTTTAATTAAATTACATATCTTCTGAAAATTAATAGTGCGATAGTTGGTTTTCTAGTAAATAGATGTCTCTAGTTTGATCTACAATAGTTTATTAGAAAATAGGTAGTGTATTAAAAAAAGTATTAATAATTTTAATTAAAAAAATAAAAGTATTATTTTTGAAATTTTATTTGAGATAATTTAGCTAAAACAAGATTTTGAAATATATCACAAAATCACTGACAGATAGGTACGGATGGACACAAAAATCCACTATTTTTTAAAAATAAATTCTAAAATGAATGTTCAAAATGAAGTAGGCCGTTTCTTTAGCGATGTCAACATTAAATTTGTCAGTGTTTGTCAGTGAAAACGATTGGTAGACGAGGTTTGGTCTTCTTAAAACATAATAAGGCACTTTTCCTTTTCTACTTTTGTAATTGGCCGCCAGTTTCCCGCGCCTGTAAAGTTCCTACACGTCGATAAGCCGACGGAGCATCGACCGCCGTTTGCTGGTAAGGGAGTGGTAGCGGGCAGAACCAATACGTACCGTGTTCTTGTGTAGTGCGTCGCGACCATTGGTCTACAATTTGTCGACCAATCATTGGGAAAGTGCACACTAAAATATCCAATGTAAGTTCACAAATTATCAAACATATTCTAGGCTACAATTGGGGGTTGAACCGCAAGTTCAAACCAAATATTTATTGCTATTGCTGTTGGATTTTGTTGATGCTTCGTTTAGAATGTATGAGATGGTATAAGTAATGGCGACAGTGTAGAACAAAGACCTTGCAAGGAATAAGCCATGAAATTTTGAACGTCATAACCATGTTATGTATTTTATTTTTTATATAACATTTTTATTAACACGGCCCCGATTACAAAAGATGAAAACCGTGAAACAATTTCTAAATGTTTTAAATACCTAATTTGACATTATATTTACCTAATTACTGCTCAATATTTTAATATTGTGACGAAATATCTATTGCCATGTCAACTATCTATAGGTTATTTAAACAAACAAATCTAATTGACAATTTACAATATGGATATTAATTGTTGCTTTAATTTTCTGTCGTTTATATAAAATTCTTTTATTATAATAATTTCCCATTAGTGTCATGCATTTTTTTATTTTTATGAATAATACCTAGTTCAAGTTCCGGTAATTTTCTTATTTGTAATAATTTGGAAGTGGCTATGTTTCCAAACATACGTGTGGATATTTTTTACACATCCAAAATGCTTACCTTGAAACATAAATAAAAGTTCAAAAAGATGAGGAGTCATTAATTATTTTTTTATGGTTTTACAAATTTCAAACATATATTTAATAGTCCTTTTAAATGAGATCTAATAAATTTTCATTGGGATATTGCTGTATTCCTTTATTGATGCAAAAGGCACCAATTTTACAACAGGTGTGTAAGCTCTAAGGTCAAAAACAAAGCAACCAACATTTATTTGAGAACTTTCTATCATCTTATTCATGTCTGAATTTTTATAACTATTTTATCTCGTTTACTTTCCAGAACGTTATTAATTTGTTCACATGGAAAGTCAATTAGCCACCACTGCAGATGGCCAGGTGGTCACGCTGCCCATTCAAGGAGTGGGCCCCGGCCAAGTCCAGATGATGCAAGTCAATGCGGGACAGGTCATTCAAGGGGCCAACGGACAGCAAATCATGGTACATGCAGTACCATCTAGTGGCCAAATTCAAGTTGGTGGAGCACAGGGATTGCAACAAATTCAAGTAGGTACATTTTTACTTTTCAATAATTATGTTTATTACAATCCTCTAAAGTTATTGACTTTATTTATTCTTCTGGAGTTTTATAAGTAGTTATTAATAAAAGCTTAATATTAAACGGAATCTATGTTTTAAGGTTGTGCCTGTGAGCAGTCTACAAACGGGACAGGTACTCGTTCAGCCACAGCAGCAACCTCAATTGGTGCAGACGTCTGATGGCCAAACCTTCATCTATCACCCAATGGCGATTGAAGGCAGTAGTTTACAGCAAGCGACACCTACAGGTAAAGTTGGATACCTAATTTTTAAAATCCACTAACTTGTTCACTTCTTACGTTTATCAGTTTTCAACACAAGGTGCCTTTCACCTTCCAGAAAAATGAAAATTTTTGAAAAAATCTGTTTTATAAGTGTTTGGTATGATTATACCACTTAGATCATTGATAATTTAATATTTGGTGCATCAGTGAAGAAGGTGTCCATGATAATTTGTTCAAAATTAGTTTATGATTTTGGTAGGTTTCGACCACCTGAATCATTGATATTTTAACAGTTCATTAACTTACAGAGAAAGTGAGAATGGGTTAAAAATCAGGTTATTAAGATTTTGGTCCGATTCTACCGCCTGGATCATTAATATTTTGACACATTGTTGGACAATATGTCTATAGCCATCGTTTCAAAAATTGTACAATATGACATAACGTCTAAAGACGTCGAATTATAAATTGCATACTGTGACACAGCGGTTTCTGCCGTCCTAATCTCCATTTATATCAAAGGAGGTAAGGACGGTTGTGTCACAAGATAATATATAGAATATATTACATATTTTTTTTAGTTTAATAGTGATTTTTTCATAAGTTTTGTTTACATTTTCTTGGACATTTTATTGTGTCGAATTTCAGCTTATACTGGCTTACCACTCTTAACCCCTCTCTTTTCGCCAGTCGACTCGCGCAGCGTTGCATCTACTACAGCCGTCGTGGCAGTTTTCGCAAACTTTAAAAATCATTATATGTCACACCGCACCTAATTTCAACTGGGTCAGTGTCCAACAATGTTAACAAAATATGATAAACCCACGTAGAAGATGTTCACGAATAAATTCGAAACAGTTTAATATAATTTTGGTACATCATGTCACCTGGGGCATTGATGTCTTAACGGAAAACGATTAACCTTTGGAGCAGGTGTCCGCTAATTAATTCAAAAATAGTATAATTTAATTTTGATACATTTCTACCACCTGGTGTATTGATATTTTAACAGCACTTCATTAACCTATGGAGAAGGTGTCCACGAATGTGTTAAAATTCGGTTTATTAAGATTTTGGATTCATTATACCATCTGGATCATTATTATTTTAACAAAATATGATAAATCTATGGAGAAGATGTCCACGACTTAATTCAGAAACAGTTTAATATTATTTTAGTACGTTTATGTCACCTGATCGAACTATTGATATTTTAACGAGAAGCGCTTAATCCGGATTAATCTTTGAAGTAGGTGTCTAGGAATTAATTCAAAGAAAGTTTAATATCATTTTGATACATTTCTGCCACCTGGCGTATTGATATTTTAACTCCAAGTAAATAATCTTTGGAGAAGGTGTCCATGAATTAGTTACAAATCCCTTGATTTATCGTTTTTGTACATTTTTACCACCTGGAGCATTGATATTTTGAAAGCAATTCATTAACATATGGAGAAGGTGTCCACGAATGTGTTAAAATTCGGTTTATTGAGATTTTGGATTGATTGTACCATCTGGATTATTAATATTTTAACAAAATGATAAATCTATGGAGAAGATGTCCATGACTTAATTCAGAAACAGTTTAATATCATTTTGGTACGTTTATGTCACCTGGAGCATTGATATTTTAACGAGAAGCGATTAACCCGGATTAACGTTTGGAGTAGGTGTCTAGGAATTAATTCAAAGAAAGTTTAATATAAATTTGATACATTTCTACCGCCTGGCGTATTGATATTTTAACGCCAAGTGAATAATCTTCGGAGGTGTCCATGAATTAGTTACAAATCCCTTGTTTTATCGTTTTTGTACATTTCTACTAGCTGGAGCATTGATATTTTAACAGCAATTCATTAACCTATGGAGAAGGTGTCCACGAATGTGTTAAAATTTGGTTTATTAATATTTTGGATTAATTGTACCATCTGGATCATTAATATTTTAACAAAATATGATAAATCTATGGAGACAATGTCCACGACTTAATTTAGAAATAGTTTATTATCATTTGGGTACGTTTATGTCACCTGGAGTATTAATATTTTAACAAGAAGCGATTTACCTGGATTAACCTTTGGAGTAGGAGTCTAGGAATTAATTCAAAGAAAGTTTAATATAATTTTGATACATTCCTATCACCTGGTGTATTGATATTTTAACGCCAAGTGAATAATCTTCGAAGAAGGTGTCCATGAATTAGTTACAAATCCCTTGATTTATCGTTTTTGTATGTTTCTTTCACCTGGAGCATTGATATTTTATTAGCAATTCATTAACCTATGAAGAAGGTGTCCACGAATATGCTAAAAATCGGTTTATTAAGATTTTGGTTCGATTCTACCACCTGAATCATTAATGTTTTAGCAAAATATAATAAACTTACGGAGAAGATGACTAATATATTAATCAATATAATTTTGGTACATTTACTACCACCTAGTGTATTGATATTTTAACGCCAAGTGATTAACCTTAGCAGAAGGTGGCCATAAATTAGTTATAGATTCGTTAATTTATCATTTTTGTACAATTTTACCACCTGGAGCATTATTTAATTAAGGACAGTCGATTTGCGCAATAACATTTTCTTTGAATCCGATCATTCACCTTCGGAAAAGGTTTCCACGATTTTCAAAAATAATTACAATCTTTCTTGTTTTTTAGTTTTGAACATAAACGGAAATCTAGTACAAATAGCGGGCACGGCGCAACAGGCCACGACGAACGGCATGGCTCAAACGACAGTGACGTCTCCTACATCACAGGTGGTCCCTCAGACTTTGACGACCGCCTCACCCAACCAACTGGCTATGGCTAACGGAAATTTAGTCATGGTGAGAAACGCCACGGATGTACGTTAAGTTAACCACACACTTTTTTTTCGTTTTTTTTTCTCTAACAAGTAAATTACATCATAAGTTTGTACCACACAATTATCTATATTTTTTTTTGTTCATTTTATCAATATTTTGATAGTAAAGAATTTTAGCGAATTTATGAATTAAATTTATTTTTCTAGATGGTGCCTAGTACAAGCGGTCAACAATTCCAGAGGGTACAAATACCTGGTACGGAATTCCTAGAAGAAGAACCCCTGTATGTCAACGCTAAACAATACAGGAGGATATTAAAAAGGCGACAGGCGCGAGCGAAACTCGAAGCTGAGGGGAAGATACCCAAAGAACGGCCGGTAAGAAAATTTCCATAGTACAAATATCAGATATGTTCCAACATTATTATTTTTTCTCGTCCCCTTCATTCGGCAGTTGTCTTTTTACAACATATTGATCCGTTACAGTGATCCTAAGTGTGCTAAATGGTTTCGGTGGTTTTCAGCATAAAGGTTTTTTTGAAATTCAGGACAAATGAGCCCTGAAATCCGGACATAATGTATTTATGTACTTTATGGGAGGCGGGTAAATTAAAAACAGTGACTTAACCTAAGCAGGGATCGAACTCACGACACGTCCATTGTCGTTGTAGGCTTTCAAGCGTTAGGCGCCCTCGACCAAGGAGGGACTTGAAAAAATCTTACTAATAGATACGGCATTAATAGAATAAGATTTCAAACTTCCGCTGATATAATGAAATATGTAATAGATTCAATTTGTCATTTTTTAATGACCGATTCTATTAAAAAAAAAGGAAGTGTATAGATGGGTATTATCTGGTAGGCTAAATAAATAGTGACCTAAGATGGACGGCCATTGGATGTCAAAATAACACTAAACTCAAAATTAAGTCCAAAAACAGACGTCCTCTAGGTAACGATATGCAGCTGTCAAATTAATGATCATAAACGGACGTACACTGGATGTCCGAATACGGATATGGACGTTCTGGCCCTCAAATGGATCTAAAGTGGATGTCCATTGGATTATGTGTGCTGTCTGGGTCTTTAGGAAAAACACAGTTGGCATCATTTATTTTGTAAAAATAACTATTTTATGTGATATTTTTCTGATTTCTGAACTCCGTTCAGGATCGAAATATGTTCCAATAACATTAGTGATAAAACTCAGAAAAGGTCATGTCAAAATTAAATAGGTCATTATTATATCTTTTATAGAATCAAGAGTATGCCTATTCCGATCTTTTGTCCTTTGGGCCGCAATTAAAGAAAATATTTCCTCAACATTATGTGCAGTAATAGCAAAGAAGAATTCACATATTTTTAGCAATTCTGAAAAACTTTCAATGGTTATACATTGCTGAAAATAAGTTGACCACTTTTTGTTGTTTCCCGGACACTTTTTCAAAAATTCCGACTGGACTGCCCTGTATACCTTAAAAACCCAATTTTCAGCTTATCTTAAACATCAACCCTTAACTTTCTTCTAAACTTGATTCTTACCTATCCTATCATTTTTAATGCGAACTGTTAACGTCAAATTACAATATTGTCAATGTCAACTGCCAAGCAGCACCAACTAAAAGAGAAAAGTTTAAGTGTCAAAGTTAACTTCTGAAGGAAATTCAGAGAATTCCTGGTCTCCGGGTGTGAAAATCAAACAGATCAAAATTGGAAAATTAAATTTGAAGATCTAAATTAAGTACGATTTTTATCTAAAATAAGTCAAAAATGTTCAATGTTTTTTGACAGAGACATTGAAACTTTCTTTTTAATTCTTGGATAGTGCTCATGATTGTTGTTGCTATTTTTTGTAGACTTGATGATGTCGTTTGAGGTCGAAACTGATACCGATAAGATCGAAAAGTGATATTTTGCTGCTAGAGACAGGAAGTTGCCCGCGCGACGCCTAGCGGAGCGCGACAATCTGTCAAAAGCGGCAACGAACTTTTCGCTCAAAATGCACAAGATTTTTTTCGGCGATCACATTATTTTAAGAAATATATGTATAAAAACTAAAAATTTGTCGTAAGTAATGCATAATGGGTGCCTATATCTAAGTTATTCATTAAAAACGGAGTTAATATTCAAAGTCAATGTTACCTTGGACAATAAAATAAAAAACATCTAAATTAAATTAGGCGAGCAACAAAGCTGTCAAGTTTTCCGTTCGGCGAGCGACTAAGCTGTCACTTAATGGCAGTTCGCTGAAAACGTCAACTTTGCGGTAGTATTTCAAAGCGCAAAAGCCTACTTTGGAGAGTGATCGTAGAAAAAAAAAACGTTTTTGACTCTTTCTTGACCTTTAAAATTTGGAAAATCGTTTTTAATTTTTGATAATTTGATTGTTTATTTTTATTTTTAAGAAACGTACCTAAAATAATAATCGGTTTATTTTGTTTTAGAAATACCTGCATGAATCTCGTCACAGGCACGCCATGAACAGGATAAGGGGAGAAGGTGGTCGTTTTCACTCAGGATCGGTCAAAAAACGAAGGTAAAATTTGATTTTAAGTTACTGTCAAGTGCTAAGATTTTGTTTTTGTGCCTACATTATTTCCTCAAACATTAAAATAACGTTTAAACACATGGAACACCTATAGTTTTGCATTGATGTTATTTGCCTCTAAAGAAGATGTTCATTTTATCTGTTATAAATTGATTGCCAGCAGTTAGAGCAACGAACTACCTTTGGGGCATGTTTATGAATTATAAATAATTTCCATAACCTTGACAGATTCCTCGAAGGCAGTGACATTTACTTATGGAGCTGAACTAATGATTGACCAAGATATTGATATAAATTGATTTAATTAATGTAGAGGGGATATCCCTCAGCTTTGGAGATGATATCCACAAATTAAAGCAAAACGGTTAAAATAAAATTCAATGTATGGCAATTATTTTCACTAACTGAATACTGATTTTTATGGAGCGAATATCACTAATCGTCGGAGATGATGTCCACGAATTTGATAAAAATTGATATTTAAATGTTTATAAATCGATATCACTCACTGTCAAAGACAATGTCCACTTTGAGGAAAATTGGGTTTTCTGTGTTCAGATGTAAATTTCACCTCCTGATACTATTTTTATAAAAAGTTTTTAATTTACCTTCGAAGACGATGCCCATGAATTTTGTTAAAAATTCCCATTTTACTCAAATTTGTGGACATCATCTCCGTAGATAAGTAATATTTCTACGGAAATCAGTGCCCAGATATGTTGAAAACGATTTATAAATATTTAATAGACCGTTTTTTTAACAAATTTTTGGACATCTTTCCCAAAGATAAGTGAAAATGATTTTTATGTGTTAAAAATTCCGATTTTATTCAAATTTGTTGATATTCTCTTCGCAGATAAGTAGGTAATATCTCCACGAAAATCAGTGTCCAGATGTTAAAATCGAATTATAAACATCCAATAAACTGATTTTTATCAAATTTGTGGACATCTTATCCAAAGGTAAGTGGCATCCTCTCCAAAGAAATTAGTATCCAGGCGGTTAAAATGATTTTTATCTGTTAAAAATTCCTATTTTTTGACATCATCTCTATAGATAATAGCTCCACGGAAATCAGTACCCAGGTGTTGAAAACGATTTAAATTGAGAAAAATGGGCATTGTCAATGTATAGAAATATTTTTCATCACCTGGATATGGATTTTTGCCGAGAGGATATCACTCACCTTCGGAGAAGATGTAGATGAATTTTTAGTACCTGGATACTTATTTTTTGGAGACTATTATTTGTCTACGGAGATGATGTCCACGAATTTATTAAAAATCGGTTTAAACACCTGGACACTGATTTCGGTGGAGATATTACTTATCTATGGACATATGTCCACAAATTTGAATAAAATGGGATTTTTTACATATAAACATTTTTACCGCCGGGATACTAATTTCTGTGGAGGGAATATCACTCACCTTTCGGGGACGGCGTCCACGAATTTGATAAAAATCAGTTTATTGAATGTAAATAAATCGTTTTTGGGCACCGGTATTTTTAACACATTTTAACCACCTGGATACTAATTTTAGTGGACAGGATCCTTTATAGAATATTTCCAATAATTTGATAAAAATAAGTTTTTTTTAAATTTTAATAAATCTTTTTCAACACCTGGGGCCTATTTCATAAAGGAGAATGGGCAGTTTTGCCCCACCTCCCAATAGGAGTAAGATATATGCCAAATGAAAGTTATCGGTAAGGGGAACATTTGTTTTTATTATGATTTCTCTCAATTGTCTGTCCGTTCCGAGTTACACAGTTTGTCTACTTAAGTTGAAACCATATGGAAAACTTTTTTTATTATTAGTTTTCTGAAAAAATGTATTTGTGATAAAAAGTTCTGTATGCTCCAAAACTTAAAATGCAACCATCAGATATTAATTTTTTTAAGCCGTATACGAGGTTTGTCAAAAAATATGAATTTTACTCAAGAGTAAAGTACCTACCTTATTTTTTACAATGCAAAAGAATGTTATAAAGTAAAGATATTTTGAAATAAAAGTTATATTCAAATATGCAATGACAGTCATTTATCGACTACAGTAGCGTAGGTGTCTACGGTACGGCATTCATTTGCGAGCCAATTTTCTGGTAAAACGAGAAACGGAAGACTATGTGAATTTATTTGCACAGTTCTCTATAGAATTTGATGGATGCCGTATTAGCAGAAATTTAATTTCTGTTGATATGACATCCAGATTATTAAGAATCGCCAAGCGTTACCGTTTTCGATGATGGTGGGTGGGGTTTTCCAGATTTTCCTCACCTGTAAGTCAAATGGCACCATCAATCATCTTTAAGTCGCCCCGGAGCGCCACGGCAAATATTAATAATAGCCGTCCCTTTCCCTGGACAAGCTCAGCTTTTGGGGTTAAAATTCACTCGTAAGGGGGTGAATTAGGGAGAGTATTATTATATTCTTATTGTTATTATTATTTAGCATAAAAATTCAGGTTAGGTGATTATTTATGTTTTACATTATAAATTATTTGTAGTTATAAATTAAATAATCACTAAACCTGAATTTTAATTCTAAATGACTAATTGCATATTTGAATATAACTTTTAATTCAAAATAACTTTATACTATTCTCCTGTATTAAAAAATAAAGGTACTTTACTCTTGAGTAAAATTCATATTTTTTGACAAACCTCAGGTACGGATTAAAAAATTTAATATCTGATGGTTGAATTTTAAGTTTTGGACCATACAGAACTCTTCATCAAGAATGAATTTTTTCACAAAACCAATAATAAAAAAGTTTTCCACGCGTAGTTGTCAAGTTATAGATAACTTAATTTAGCTGAAATCAGCTACGGACAAACTGTTGCCATAGAGACAGTTGTCATCGTAACAACTAAAAAAACTCAAATCTCGAATTGAAAAAATGCATAGTTGCCAAATTATAGATGGTATAATCTAACTTTTGTTTAGCTCAGGCCTGCACAACATACGGCTTGCAGGCGGCCCGCCATTGTCGTTTTCTTGAGTTTGGCCCGCCTGCGTCAAACTATACATTTTTCAGTAACAAAATTGTATTTAGGTATTAATTGCCTTTTTTAGGAGCTCGACTATCTTTTTTTTTAGGAGCTCGACTACCTTTTTTAGGAGCTCGACAGAAGGACTATAAAATTATAAGGTTAGGACCTTTAAATTTATGGCCCTCGTACACTTACGGTTTTTGAACTAGCCCTTTGACAATCTCAGTTGTGCAGGCCTGGTTTAGTGAAAGGTATTTTTCATGCAAATCACGTACTACCTTGCATGAAAATTGCCTTCTACCTATTACTATCATTTTATATTTATATTATATTGTACTAAGGAATTAAAACTTTCAATAATAATACTTTTTAGATAGAAACTTGTAAGCACACTGTCCAAAATATTTTTTAATTATAGCTTCAATAGATATTCATCTTTCTGTATAAAAATAATTTCAAAAAATATCATACGTCATAGTCTGGATCGACGTGTATATGATGCCCCACCCTGTATGTGTTACAAATGGCTTTATATTCATTCTAACGTAAATTGGGTAATAATATTTATTTATTATTGTATTATTGTTTGTCCATTACCTTGGTCTCGAATCATTGGACCTGTCCTTTGCAGAGAATACATAGGACCATATAATCAACATGTAGAGACCCTTTGGTAAGGGATACACGTGGCAGATAAAATTCTCCACAGCGTCACATGATGTACCCGGATATTATAATTGTTTTTATATTACTAAGAAGTAATAATTACTATTATTTGCCTGTAATAAGAACTACAAAAACAGAATTGGCCTATCGTGAAATTAGTTACATTTACGATGATATAACTCGGAATGGACAAGTAATTCAGATGAGTCGTAATGAAGAGAAATGTTCTCTTTAAAAATATCTTTCAATTGGTATATAACTTATCCTTATTGGTGGTGGGGCAATTACCCATACATTTCTGCCCATTGTCCTTTACTTTGATATTTTTCACTTAACACTTTGCGAATTTATGAATGCAAAATATATATTTTTTTTTTATAAAATAATAACATTAACTTTGCAGATTATTTTTCGGCTCCATGACAAAACAGCACAGGACAAAATAATGTAAGGACAAAATAGTAAAAGGAAAAATAGGCGAAAGGAGAAAATTGCGCAGGACAAAAAATTGCAGGACAAATTAGCGCAAATACAAAATAGCGCAGGACAAAATAGTGTAGGACAAAATAGCGCAGAAAAAAAGTACGAGACAAAATATTCCAGTATTTTAATTAAAATTAAAAAAAAAACAACTAATTTACCTAACCTTGGCGGTCTGGAGACATCGCGGCTTACTTGCTTAAAAAAATTATGAGTACCCACCTAAAATCAGAAATATAAAAAACTAACTAATTTACCTAACCTGTGTGGCCTGGAGCCATATAAAGCAACCCCTGATGGCTCCAGGCCGTACAAGTTAAGTACATTAGTTGAGTTTTTTAAATTTTAATTAGAATACTGGAATATTTTGTCACGACTAATTTGTCTGGCTAGTTTTGGACTAAACGCCAACTTGACCTAGCGTTAATTTGTCTCACTTTATTTATATCAGGCGCTAACTTGTCATCTCTTACGTATTTGTCTCGACGTAAATTTATCCCAGGCAGAATTTTCTCACGCTAAAATGGATTGAATCCGAAAATATGAGAGAGACGAAGCTACGCTGCAAACATTCACTGCATAGACGTTGTCGGAACAGTATTTGTTTCGCATTATTTCAATAAATCATATTAATTAAAATGATACGTTTTTCGGTGCGCTATTTTGTCCTTGCACTATTTTGTCCTTGCGCTAGTTTGTCCTTGCGCTCTTTTGTCCTGCGCTATTAGTATAGGATCCGAAGTAAGGTACCTTCACCCATCTGTTTAACGGATTAAGTTTTTTTTATTAAATAAAATAGTTTGGCTAGGTGAAAGCTAAACTGGTCCAAGTTACATTTTTATTGTAATAGAGATAATGACTTGTTTATACTCAGCTAGTGTCAATGCATCAGTGCCAAAGAGATATATCTTGAGATATATGTTACATTATCACTTTAACATAAGGAAAACATAATTCTGCCACTTTAAGCTTTCATACAAATGTAAACATTTCTTGCTTTTTCTCCAAAATTTTATTTTGCTCTTTAGACCACTTTAGCTCCCACCTAACCATTTATAAATATACTGCAAATGGGTTGCACACAGCTATTTTTTACTTTCTTTTCTGTATACAGATAAGTTAAGTATAGGAATCATGATAAAGTTGCTTGTGATGTCATTCTCTATAATTTTGGTCCTATACAGGATTTCCCTGAAATGGACCGTATTCGAGATATTTGAGGAAAAGCGCAAATTTCGAATTTTGAAGATAACTTAAAAACGGATGGAGAGAAACACAAAATTTTAAGCTTAAACTTTAATCCATCCTGCGGTGAGCTGATTAAATTTTGGGTATAGTCAAAGCATCTGTTTTTTTTTACTTTAAGAAAATAAATAGTCTTGACAGTATTTTCTTAGGCAACCCATTTGCGGTATATTTATAAACATATTTAATAAAAAAAAAACTTTCATCCATTAAACAGATGGGTGAAGGTCTATCTTACTTCGGAACATAGACAATATTTTGTCATGGAGTTTTATTTCTCTTTTATGAAACATAATTTTCCTAAAATATTTAAAGTAAGAAGTTGCAAAGTAGTTTTGTGAAATAGGCCTCTGGACACCGATTTCTGCGTATATGATGTCCACAAATTTATACAAAAAGTACAGAAATTATTTTCACCACCAGGATCAATTTATGTGGAAAGTAAATCATTAATCGTTGAGATGATGTCCAAATGTTTACTGATGGATTTTTATACTTTTTCAACACCTTATGACATCATGTTTCCATTATTAACATTGAAAAATTTTTTTTTCAAGGGAGGAAATGGCGAGACATCACCAGCAACAGCAACAACAGCAGCAGCAACAACAGCAGCAGCAGCAACAACAGCAACAACAACAACAACAGCAGCAGCATCAGCAGCATACGCAGCAGCAGCAACAACATCAACAACACCAACAGCAACAAACGCATCACGAAGTTCAGGGTACCATTGGCGTGTCTTATGGTAACATTGACATGGGGGCGCCTATTATTATAGAGGTAAGTTTACTGCGGATATAATAGGATAATAATACATACTGGCTAGCCGACCGTAGTATTGAGTATTGAAAAATGCCGCCGGACGACGGTCTACTGTATTTAAAACATTAAATGCCGCTGGAAAAAACTCGCGTATCGGTGACAACACTAATCATTTGTAATTGCTGTGGTGGGAGGTGTTTGTGTGAATGCGTCTTGTTTGTTTTCATTTACGCCGTGATTAGCAGTAGTATTTTATAAACCTTATAAATGAACAAATAATAATAATAATGCCGTGACAACAAGAAGACGAAGTAACGACTTATCATAGGGTGGCGGCTTCGCCGCCACCATAAAATTTCAATCCATACCTGGCTACGCCGACCGGCATTAACACCGACGGCCTGGACACAGCTCATCTACTCTGTCAAACGGAGACCGATGTATAAATAAAACGCGTACGACATATGATCATTTGCCACAAAAATGTAGACGATTTTACAAGTATTTTTTCTTACCACCGGCATTCAATGTTTTAAATACAGTAAACCATCGTCCGGCGGCATTTTTCAGTTCCCTGATCAACAAATCAGTTTAGATTTGCGGCGGCTTTTTTATATGTGAGAAGACCATGCCGCCGAAAAACAGTTTTCTTTTCAACAAATGCAAGCACCGCCGGCGGTCGGTTAGCCAGTATGATAATAATAATAATAATTATAAAGCAGAGAGATAATTATTTATTTTATTTTTTCAGGGTGTGATGTCTGATATGATAAAACCGGACCCGCTGTCTATAGAAGGAAATTAGTATCTGTATAAATCAAATTAAATAATTTTATTTATTTTTTTCTCTCTTTATAATGTTGGACATTTTTTTTTGTATATAGCTTTATAGATTTGTTTTTGTCGTAACTTGGATTTCTCGTACATTTACTTCTCGTTCCATCGCATGTTTGCCATTATTTATTGTTAATTATTTTTTAAAACTAAATTAGGTCACATTGAACGTATCTATTTTGTATGTCCAGAGGTAGTAGAGAGTATTCGCTTATTAATTTATATGCGGCGGGAAATATTGGAAATTGCAGTGAATGTACGGAAACTCATTATGTCATGGATGATATTTTGTTTTTTATATAATGTTTCGTGATTAGGAGTTAAGCCACTTCCTTTTTGTACAATTGTTAATACATTTTGACTGATCGATTTATAATTAGTTGTATTTTGAATACGTATTGAGTTGTAATATAAACGATTTTTTATTAAATGTGTTTTTAATTATTAAATAAACAGAAAAATTGTTCAGTCATTTAGAACAAATGTTTAATGAACGCATATACATTTTAAATTAATTTTAAAACGATGATGTCCGTGTCATTGAATTTAAAGATTAAATCATCTGGACAATAAATAAATTGGTTTACTGAATGTCAATAAATCGATTTTTTATCTGTATACTGATTTCTGTGAAGGATAACTTACCTTCAGAGGTGTTGTTCACGAATTTGTTAAGTCAGTTCATTGAATATTTAACACCTGAATACTGAATTCCATGGAGATATTACTTATCTATGGAGATGATATGTTAACAAATTTGAGTAAAATCATTTTCACCACCTGGATACTAATTTCTGAGGAGAGGTTATCACTCACCTTCGGAGATATTGTCCACGAATTTGATAAAAATCTGTTTATTAAATGTTTATAAATCGTTTTAAACACCTAGATATTGATTTCCGTAGAGATAATACTTATCTATGGAGATTATGTCCACAAATTTGATTAAAATGGGAGTTTTTAACACATAATAATTTTCCCCACCTGGATATTAATTTTGGTGGAGGAAATACCACTTACCTTCGGAGACGGACGATGCCACGAATTTGATGAAAATCAGGTTATTGATTGTTTATATTATCTATGGAGATGGTATCCACAAATTTGGAAAAATCAGAATTTTCAATCTATAGAAATACACCACCTGGATAGCGATTTTTGTTGAGAGAATATGTGACTAATCTTCGGAGAAGATGTCGACGAATTTGATAAAAATCAGTTAAATCGTTTTCAATACCTGGATACTGATTTTTTGGAGATATTATTTGCCTACGATGATGATGTCTACAAATTAAAATGGGAGTTTTCAAAATATTAAAATCATTTTCACCACCTGGATACATATTTTTGTAGAAGGCATAATACTTACCTTCGGAAACGATATCCGCAAATTCACGAATTTGATAAAAAATCCTGGAATCGAATTTCTGTCGAGAGGATATCTATCACTCGCCCTCAGAGAAAATGTCGACGAGTTTGATAAGAATCAGTTAATTTTTTTTTCAATACCTGGATACTGATTATTTGATGACTGTCTGCGAAAATGATGTCCATGAATTTGATAAAAATCTGTTTATCCGAATGGAATAATAAATAGATCGTTACTAAATTTTGTGGATATGATAATCCTTATCTGCGTAGATGTTGGCAACAAATTTAAGTAAAATGGGATTTTTTTACTTATAAAAACCATTTTTAACCGACTTCAAAAAAGGAGGAGGTTCTCAATTCGTCACTATCTGGATATTGATTTCTGTGGATATTTATTTATTTATTATACAATGTCCACGGGGCTAACCCCAATTACAGGACAAGGGTTAACAAACAGAAAATATATTTTACAATAATAAATAACAATTTGTTCGTTAAAAGAATGTCTTCTCGAACACACAAATGACAAAAATGAAGAACAAAAAATAAAAGGTGCATTTGTAGTAGAGTAATTGGGAGATAAAGACTCACAATAACAGCAAAGAAAAAAGAGACAAAAGGTATGAACTATGAGCATAAACGTTTAATTGAACCGCTACAACTGTGAAATATGTCCAGATTCGGTTCTAAGAGACAATAATTTGACACAGCGGATTACCTTAAGAGGTGATGATTTATATATATTTGTCCTATGAGGCGGAATGTCAAATATTTGTTAGTTTCTGGAGTTTAGCCTAGGAACGTGGAAGTTGATCATGTTGATTAACTCCATACAGTCAACAGACCCATTAATAACTTTGTGTAAAAATGTGACAGAGATTATTCTGCGTTTTACAAGGCTGCAGGATTCGAATCGGTCATAAAAATATTCTTGTGGAGTGCCTCTAGCGGGAAATACATTATCTAAAATAAAAGTGGCAGATTTAAAAAATCTCCGCTGAACTCTTTCTAGGTGAGTTATCTGATTATTATAAATTGGGCTCCAAATAATGCATCCGTATTCAAGTTTGGATCGAACAAGAGCTGAGAATAGCAAATTCATTGTATGGAACTCTCTAAAATCTTTCATGTTCCTAGTTAGAAACCCTAAGATCCGAAAAGAAGATGATACCGTCTTATCAATACCGAGATCTTTTATTAACTCAGGCCTTGATAGCGTAATATCCTGAAGTATATAATTAAATTGCATGATTAACTCTTTTCTAGAGAAAGTCATTATGTTACATTTATTGGCATTTAGAGACAATTTGTTAGCAGCGCACCAATCATTTAATAGGTTATTATTACGTTGTAAAGAGTGGCAATCATTCAAGTTATTAAGGGCGTGAAATAGTTTTAAATCATCAGCATATAGTAAATATTTTACATCAATATTAGTTACGATATAGTTAACAAAAATGTTGAAGAGAAGAGGACCCAGAATAGAGCCTTGAGGAACTCCGGAAGTTTGAGAAAATATACGTGATTTGAGACCCAGTCATTGAACAAATTGGGTGCTCCAGATATATAGGATTTTATGACAGTTATTAGCTGTTCAGACATTCCGATCTGGTGAAGTTTTGTTAGTACGAGGGCGAGTCAATAAGTCCGTGACACAGGTTTTTAGATAAAAGTTATTTTATTTTTCAACGTAGTCTCCTTTGAGCTCTATACACTTAGCCCAACGTTTCTCCAGTTTTTTTATCCCTTCCAAAAAATATGATTTGTCGAGGTCTTCAAAATAGGTATTTGTTTGTGAGATGACTTCGTCATTGGAGGCAAATCTCTTTCCGCCGAGCCATTTCTTCAAGTTCGGAAACACGAAATAGTCACACTGGGCTAGGTCGGGTGAATAGGCCGGATGAGGGAGCAATTCGTAGCCCAATTCATAGATTTTTGCCATGGAAACTGCACATGTGTGCACCCGTGCATTATCCTGGTGGAAAAGGACTTTTTTCTTGGCCAAATGTGGTCGCTTTTTTTTTCAATGCCTCATCGAATCGACCCAATAAGTTGCTGTAATATTCACCATTGATTGTTTTTTTCTTATTGAAGGTAGTCAATGTGGATAATACCGCGTGCATCCCAAAAAAACAGTCGCCATGACTTTATTGGCTGACAAACCCACCTTTGCCTTCTTCGGCGCCGATTCACCCCGAGAAACCCACTGTTTTGACTGCTGTTTGGTCTCCGGTGTGTTGTGGTGGATCCACGTTTCGTCCACGGTTACGAAACGGCGCAAAAACTCGTTCATATTGCGACTGAACAACGCCAAACATTCCTGCGAAATTGTTACACGGTTGCGTTTGTGGTCGATTGTGAGCAATCGCGGCACCCATCTTGCGGAAAGCTTTCTCATACCCAAATGATCATTCAAAATTGAAACCACTGAGCCATGTAAGATGCCTATGGCTTCCACAATCTCTCTCACTTTTAATCGCCGATCGGCTAAAACCATATCGTGGATTTTTTTCAATTGTTTCCGATGTGGAGACCTCAACTGGGCGTCCAGAACGTTCGGCATCTTCCGTGCTTGTACGGCCACATCGGAACTTTTTTACCATGGAAATGGATGGAGTCCCCATAATATTTATTAAGCTTAGCCTTGGTTTGCGTAATGAATTTTTTCCGCAAAAAATAATGCTTTATGAGCACACGAAATTAACTTTTTCCATTTTCTTCTTAGTCAACGAGGTAGTCTGATATTAACGGCTGTCAAAAACAAACTAAATGTCGCAGCTTTTTCAATTTTTGACAAGAGTCAACAGACAGATGACTGTTGACGGGAGCATTGTTGCCATTTCAATTAAGAGGCGATAAATTCAAAAAGTCACGGACTTATTGGCCCTCATTGTATTCCATGATCCAACTTATCAAAGACTTTGGAAAAATCAGTATAGATTACGTCTACCTGATTCTTTTTATCAATTGCCTCACACAAGAACTGTGTAAAACAGAAGAGATTAGTTATAGTAGAACGTCCTCTGATGAATCCATGTTGTTCAGGTATAATGACATTACGGAGCTTGAAAGAGAGATGATCATGCAAAATAATCTCAAATGTTTTCGAGAAGTTGCACAGAATAGTAATAGGCCTATAATTACATATTTCGTTACGATTACATTTTTTAAAAAAAAGGGCATAAATTCGAGAAAGCTTCCAGATAGTTGGGAACGTACCCGATGAAAGCATTAAGTTGAAGATATATTGTAAAGGTTTACAAAAAATTTGAGCAATCTTTAATTAGAAAGGAAGGAATAAGATCAGGGCCGGTCGTTGTTTTTGTCTTAATTTTTTTAGGGCAATCAGACCTTCCTTTTCTGTAAAAAAGGGCGTAGTAACCAGATTTGAGCAAGATGTAACGTTGGAGGCAGTGTATGGTCCTGACGCAATATAATTTTTAGCGAAAAAGCTGACAAAGTGTTCAACTATGTCCTGGGCATTTTCCGAGTTTACATTGTTATATGACATATTGGCTGGAATTGAAGATGACACGCCTTTTTTTGAGTTAATAAATGACCAAAACTGATTGGGATTTGTTTTAATGTTTGCTTCAGAGGTCCTTAAATAGTTTTTGTAAGCAGAATCAGACAGATACTTAACTTCAGCTCTTAGGTTACTAAATTAGATGTAGTGTTCGGGATTTTTACTTCTTTTGTATTTATTCCATGCTTTAGACTTCAAATTGAGTTTTTTAATTATTTCAGAGTTTAACCAGTCAGGATATAATGATTTTTCGGTGGTATCTTTAAAGGAATGTTTTTGTCGAAGATATTATAGAGCTCTCGTAAAACATTTTAATTGATTCATCCACGCTGCCGAACTGATATAGGTGGGTCCAATCAATTGTGAGTAGATCTTGATATAAACTGGGAAAATGAGCTTTTTTAAAATTATATTCTTTAGAACATGATGAAGATATAATGTCTTTAGAGTAGTCTTAATGGAAATATCAACAGAAAGGGCAGGGTGTTGTGGATCTAGTCGCAAGAGTTCAGATGTTTGAGAGACAGTGCATGCACCAATGTTTAAAAAAACGAAGTCAATTATTCTGTTATTGCAGTTAAGTATGTTGAGACATATTAAAAGAGTTTAGGAAATTCATTAAACAAGATATTTTTCTACATGGATCTCTTATTATGCCTGCTCTAAAATCGGCATATCTACTTAAATTGAAATCGCCAAAATCATTTTGGTCGTAAACTAAGTGTATAGGCATGAAAATATCGATAAACAGATCATATTCATTAGCAGATATGAGCGGAGGAAAGTAGATGCAGAAAACATAAACATTTGTTTTACCCAATTTCAGTTTTATAGATGTTACATCAATAGATATAAGAGGTTCAAAAATATGTTCGGTGTCAAAGATACTGCACGAAAATTGTTTTTTTTTTACAGTAATTAAGCTACCTCCACCTAGTGTTGCAGACGTTTTATGGAATTTTCTATCAGTTCTGTAAACATTGTAAAGGTTTGTATCAAATAGTTCCGAGTCCTTGATTGAGTCGTTTAGCCAGGTCTCAGTGAGCGTAATAATGTCATATTGAGAGGAAGTCGATGAATTAAGATAAAGATCTCGAGTCTTCGTACGAATGCCACGAACATTCCGATAGAAAAGAGAAAAGTTAGACGTAGTACATTTACTTTCATTATTAATAGTTGAAACAGGATGTTCTCGATCTCGTTGCTACTTGGGAGACAGAATATTGGATCTAAATTCATTCATTACAGAATGACTTACGGGGATCGGATTTTCGGCAGTTTTGTCAAAATTATGGCAGTTAATGCAATACTTATTGCTGGGTTTATGACATTCACTGGTTTATGATTTTGAGCACATAATGGACAAATATAAACAGATGAATTACAGTGTTTTTCTAGGTGATGAAAACGACAGCACTTGAAGCACCGCCTTAGCTCAATGGCGTCAAAAACATTACAATAATCGTAGCCAACAAATAGTTTTCCTACTGACATAACCTTTTGATAACTATTAATATCTGACTGTATTATGACTTGGAAAAGTTTGTTTGTTTATAAGATCATTTTCAGAGATACCGACGATCTTGAAGCGAGGATTCAGTGCAGGAACTTCTTTGATTGTGTAGTCATTGGCCAGTTTCTCATCTGTTAACTTTTTAAATTTGGTACATTCATCAGAGTTTTCGCATCTAACCATTATACCACCATCTCGAACGTTAACTACTTTAGTGATGTTGATGTTAGATGATACAGGGTTTATATTTTGAATCATAGCAGTTTTCGTGACTGAGGTAGCTTGTTTTGCCTTAGGCATAATTACATAAGAACTAAGAACCTAAGGAGATGATGTCCATGAATTTGATAAAATCCGTTTATAAATCGTTTTTTAAAGCTAAAACTAATTTCTGTGAAGAGGATGTCACTTAGCTTTGGAAATGATGTCCACAAATTAGAACAAAATGATATTAAATGTATAGAAATCATTTTCAGAAACTGTACGAGTATACTGATTTCTTTGAGATAGCACAGGACGTCCATTACATGTCCATTTATCGTCTGTACGTCCAGGACCAATTCTGGACGTTTTAAGTATGTCCAGTTTAGTAAATCCTCGGGACGTCAAGAAATAGATATCCGTAGAACGTGAATTCTACGTGATTTATTATATTTCCATGAATTCACGTTCGCATTGTATTATTATTTGGTTATATTATATAAACAACATATATAATGAGATAATATAAATAATTGAATTGTTCCAATATCCAATTGAATGAAAGACAGAAAACGAAGAAAGGGACATTGTTGACAAGTGACATTTTATTATTTATTTAGCTTCAAGCACTGAAATATTCTCAGGGCTAAGGTTTTATTAAAAAAAAAAACATGGTGTTCAATGTTCATGATTCGATGGTATGTACTTATTATATGAGTACAAGTTCTATCATTCCGCCATTTGACTGTGATTCGACTTTGTGAATTTGTGGTTGATTAATATCTATTAATTTTTTGCAGTTTGTACTATTTTTATCTCTGAGAAAGGTGGAAGTTTTGAATACTACAAAGCTAAAAGGTTAGTGAATTCATAATATCTAGCAGGGCAAACTTAAACAAACAGATTGGATTTTCATATCGATCTGCCTTTCATTTTGAATAAGCGATTAAATTATTTTCAGGTTCAGCTGAGAAGGCAAATAATATGGCCAAATCAAGAAAAAACTGAATTGCTGTCAATCCAGGCATGGTTAAAAAGGGCAAAGTAGAGGAGAGAAGGAATGAATTTGACGAAAAAGTTTTAATAATTTTATTATTCACAGGTTATTTGCTTCGAAATAATTTTTTTTTTGAAATTATTCATTATTTTTACTAATTTCCTTAAACATCTTGTCATTCCCCATTTGAGCTTTTGTAAATGTCAATGGAATGTTCTTAAATGGACATTCTTAAGACATCCTGATTATTAATAATGGACGTTCCAAAGACGTCTATAAGACGTTCGACGCTGTAAGGATGTCCTGAATGTCCAATCAGGACGTTTTTAGAACGTCCATAAGACGTATTTGTGCTATCTGGGATATCACTCACTATCGAAGACAATGTCCACAAATATGAAGAAAATGTTAATATCTGTGTTCAGAAATAAATTTCATCACCTGAGATTTTTTCATTCGCCTTTGGAGACCATATACCTATGTTAATTTAATTTTTAATCATTTTCAGTATTTTCACCCACTTTTTTAGCATAAGTTTCTTTTCAGAAAAATAAATTCAAAATATTATCAAAATTATTTAATAGGTACATATAATAAAACTAAAATTAAAGTCACTTTTTAATCTTTTTCTTGATGGGTACAATAGTATTACCTTCTGCGGCAAACGTAAAGAATTTTGGCTTTTCCTTTATTATTTCTGGAACAGTTTCTGTGGGAAGATCAATTTTGAGTTCCAGATGGTCCACATTAGTTTCCGGTTGATCTAAAACTTCAGGTCTGAATTCAGGATGTTCAGCATTTACTGATGTAACAGAAATGGGACCCAAGGAAATGTTGCATAAACTAACAGATTTATCGGAATCTCTGTTAATTTTTTTCAGCGGCTTTGGAAGTATTTTTCGTTCAGGAGGCTTAGTTTCCTTCTTCTCAATTTTTGAGTTGGCTTTTACAATTTTTTCTGATTGCACCGAAGTCTTAGATTTATTATTATTATTGACAGTAAACTTTGATTTTACAGCAAAATTTTTCTTCAACGGAATCGGTGGCAATTTGTTTTTGATTTGTTTCAAGTCGAATTCTTCCTCTTCAGGCTTTTCCGCTTTTTCTTGATGATCGTGTATGTTCGTGCCGGATTTTGTCATCGAGGTACGAAGAGGAAATTTATTTTTACTGAGAGGTATTCTGGTAGCTGACACTGTTTTATTGTTGCCAGTTGGTAATTTTTTTTTAACATTATTTAATTCTTTTTTATTTTTAATGTCGTCTTTTTTGGGATATTCGGAATCTTGCTCGTCGTCCTTGCTTTTCGCCTTCAAAAAACGTTTTATTTGGAAAAAAATTATCGCTTTTTTTAATGCAATATTAGGAAATAAGAGTAGATGTAGAGTAGATACCGTAAAATTTTTCCCATTTGATACACAGGATTTAATTGTAAAAATACTTTTGAATTTCTAACCTAACCTAATTATACAGAGAGATGAGTTGAAACATAACTTTTTATTGTCAAGCTGACTTTTTATACAGTTATTTACTTCAATTTGATTAATACCTGAATCCGGAACTCTTAAACACTCCACTTATGGATTAATTTTAAACGTCAAACGTTTTTACGGGAACTTTTGGATTTTTTTATGGCCTTTTTGTCTGGAAATCTATTCCAATCTACAGAAACTTTCAATTTTGAATCTTACTGTTTATTTTTCTGATGATATTTCTTCTATTCTGAAGACTTGTGATCTAGTAACTACATCCCGCGATTTGGGATTATTTTTAGATTAGACTTTTTAGATTATTTGAAAGACATTTCAAACTTTTTTCGTCGCAGCATTTTTTAACGTCTTTTCTTTTGGCTGTGGTTCGGAATTTGGTAATTTGGGTATAGTCAAGATATAGAAATCATTTTCACTATCTGGCTATTGATTTCTGTGAAAAAGATATCAGTAATCGTCGAAGATTATTTCCACGAATTTGATAAAAATTATTTTATTTAATGTTTATAAATCGTTTTAAACACCTGAACACTGATCTACTCGGATATGATACTACTTATCTACGAAGATTATGTCCATCAAATTTAGTCATTTTCACCACCTGGATATTGATTTCTTTGGATAGAATATCAGTCACCTTCGGAGAAGATGCCCACAAATTTAATAAAAATCCATTGAATGTTTGAATCGTTTTTAACACTTAGACATTGATTTACTTAGAGATTATATTACTTATCTACGGAGATGATGTCCAGTTTGTTTAAAATGGGTATTTTCAATACATAAACATTATTTTCACCACCTGGTTACCGAAATATGTGAAAAAGAAAATGCTCATCGTTGGTGATGATGTCCACGAATTTGGTAAAAATCAGTTTATTAAACGTTTATAAATCGTTTTAAAGACCTGGACACTGATCTACTCGGATATAATACTACTTATCTACGGAGATGATATCCATCAAATTTAGTAAAATGAGGATTTTCAAGTCATTTTCACCACCTGGATATTGATTTATTTGGATAGAATATCAGTCACCTTCGGAGAAGATGCCCACAAATTTGATATCCATTGAATGTTTGAATCGTTTTTAACATTTAGACATTGATTTACTTAGAGATTATATTACTTATCTACGGAGATGATGTCCAATTTGTTTAAAATGGGTATTTTCAATACATAAAAATTATTTTCACAACCTGGTTACTGAATTATGTGGAAAGGATCATCGTTGGTGATGATGTCCACGTATTTGGTAAAAATCAGTTTATTAAATGTTTATAAATCGTTTTAAAGACCTGTACACTGATTTACTCGGAGATGATTACTTGTCTACGGAGATGATGTCCATAAAATTTAGTAAAATAAGGATTTTCAAGTTATTTTCACCACCTGGATATTAATTTTTTTGGATAGAATATTAGTCACCTTCGGTATCATCTTAGGAGGATGCAAAATGGGCCTAATGAGGAATAAGTGCCGTGGGGGTAACCCACCCTCCACACGTTACAGATAGTCACCTTCGGAGAAGATGCCCACAAGTTTGATAAAAATCTATTGAATGTTTGAATCGTTTTTAACACTTAGACATTGGTTTCCTTAGAGATTATATTACTTATCTACGAAGATGATGTCCAGTTTGTTTAAAATGGGTATTTTCAATAAATAGAAATCATTTTCACCACCTGGTTACTGATTTATGTGGAAAAGATATCGCTCGTTGTCGGTGATGATGTCCACGAATTTGGTAAAAATCAGTTTATTAAATGTTTATAAATCGTTTTTACGCCTGAATACTGATTTCAATGAAGAGGATATGACTCACACTCGGAGTTGTCCACGAATTTTATAAACAAGAGTTCATTGAATGTTTGAACACCTGGACACTGATTTCCTTAGAGATTATATTACTTATCTACGGAAATGATGGCCACTTTGTTTAAAATGTGTATTTTCAATGGCTCCATGACAAAACAGTGGAGGACAAAATGGCACAGGACAAAATTGCGCAGATAAAATAGCGCAGAACAAAATAGCGCAAGGACAAAATTGCGCAAGACAAAATAGCGCAAGGACAAAATAGCGAAATGACACAATAGCGCAGGACAAAATAGCTCAGGACAAAATGGCGCGAGGGCAAAATACCACGTAACGAACAATATATATGTTTTTTTATTCAATGATATTCATTGAAATAATGCGTAAGAAATAATATTCCGACGACGTCTATGTAAAAAATGTTTGAACTGTAGCTCCGTCTCTCTCACATTTTAGGATCCGAGCCATTTTAGCGCGAAACAATTTCGCGGAACAAATTTGCTGCGGTACATTTGCGCCGAGACAAATACCTGAGAGACAAGTTAACGCCTGATATAAATAAAGTAAGACAAATTAACTTCTAGTCTAATTATAATGAATCAAATTAGCGCTTTTTCGTAAAAGAGTGAAACAAATTAAGGCGTGACAAATTATGTCAGTATTCTAATTAAAATAAAACAAAACCTAAACTAGGTTAGGTAAATTAGTACAGGAATATTTTGACACGCGCTATTATGTCCTGTCCTATTTTTTCCTGCGCTATTTTGTCTTGCGCTATTTTGTACTTGCGTTATTTTGTCCTCGTGCTATTTTGTTGCGTTCACGGTATAGAGAATGGAGCGTTTTAAATGCATCTCCCTTTCCTAGTCTGTTATCGCAATCAGTTGCGTTCACCTTATAGGATTTGACATTAAGCATACGGTTAGGTTAAAAATGCGTATTTCAAAAAATAATTTCCAAAAATTTAAATGACTTATTTATAGTAAAATCCTGTGTATGAAGTGATGAAAATGCAAATGTATCCAGGTGGTAAAAATCATTTCTATACACTGAAAATACCTATTTTTATTTAATTTTTGGACATCATCTCCGAAGGTGAGTGATATCCTCTCCACAGAAATCTGTACTTTATGTATGTAATTGGATTTTTGACAAGAGACATTGTCCTATTAGCCGAACTAAATTTTACAGAAATCAATATTCAGGTATAAAAAAGGATTTGTAAACAAACTAATTTTCATAAAATTCTTGGACATCATCTCCGGCGATGAGCGATATCTTCTCACATAAATCAGTAACCAAGTGGTGAAAATGATTTCTGTGCATTGAAAATATCCATTTGACTCTTTATGTACATCATCTCCATAGATAAGTCATCTCCAATGAAATCAGTGTTCAGGTGTTTTAAACGATTGATAAACAAATATTCAATGAAATGATTTTATTAAATACTTAGACATTGATTTCCTTAGATATTATATTACTTATCTACGGAGATGGTGTCCAGTTTGTTTAAAATGGGTATTTTCAATCCATTGAAAATCATTTTCAATAACTGGTTACTGATTTATGTGGAAAGGATATCTCTCATCGTCGCTGATGATGTCCACGATTTTGATAAAAATCAGTTTCATTGAATGTTTGAACACCTGGACACTGATTTCCTTAGAGATTATGTTACTTATCTACGGAAATGATGTCCACTTTGTTTAAAATGGGTATTTTAAAAAGGCTCCATGACAAAATAGCGGAGGACAAAATAGCGCGGTACAAAATAGCGCAAGGACAAAATAGTGCAAGGACAAAATAGCGGAATGATAAAATAGCGCAGGACAAAATGGCGCGAGGGCAAAATAGCACACGTAACGAATAAGACATATGTTTTTTTAATCAATGCTATTCATTGAAATAATGCGTAACAAATACTATTCCGACGACGCCTACGTAAAGAATGTTTGAACCGTAGCTCCATCTCTCTCACATTTTAGGATCCACCCCATTTTAGCGCGAAACAATTTTGCGGAACAAATTTGTTGCGGCATATTTGAACAGAGAGTGCCGAAACAAATACCTGACAGACAAATTAACGCCTGATATAAATAAAGTGAGACAAATAAACTCCTAGTCTAATTAAAATGGGTCAAGTTAGCGCTTTTTCGTAAAAGAGTGAAACAAATTAAGGCGTGACAAAATATGTCAGCATTCTAATTAAAATAAAAAAAACTTAAACTAGTTTACCTAACCTGTGCGGCCTGGAGGCAAAGCGGGTTGCTGTATCCATACCGCACAGGTTAGGTAAATTAGAGATCTGTGAAGTTAACACCGCCAAATCCGAATTTTTATAAAAATAAATTGCCATTCGATTGTCCACGATTGTCCAACAAAAATTTTCGTTTGTCCACCCTTCAAAAAAAAGTTATAGCAAAATTAAAAATTTGAGCCAAATTTCACAGCACCGCCATAAAAGCTTTTTGATAATTTCAAAGTGGTATTCGATTGTTTACGATTAGTCCACGTTTGTCCAACCAAAATTTTCGTTTGTCCATCCCCCAAAACCGAGATATTTACAAAAATAAAAAAATAATACAGGTGGTCTTTGGGGACAACCTTATTACATTTCATACGAATTAGTAACGACAATCGTTTGTCCACACATTATTTTTGTTTGTCCAAGCGAAATTTTTGTTTGTCCACCCTTCAAAAACAAATGGGCCCGTTCACTTTCATTTTTGAATGTGAATTGATTATATATTTATAAAGATATTAAACTCTTTTGTCTGGTGGTACTTTTCCCGTAAAGATATTTTTGCTAGAAGTAAGGGAATTCCCATAAAATTCTTTCAGTGACTCATTGCGTCAGAAAATCCCTAATTCCGTTCACGTCTCGTATCGGTTATGCTTAAAGACGGCGAGGTTGTCGGAAGTATCCCTAATATAGCATTTCTGCATTTATATGTAATTTAAATAGTAAAATTCCATTATTTTTCTAAAAATCATGAACTTATATTTTCAGATTTAAAGCTGGGAGCTTATTTTTTACTTTTTAATTAAAACAATTATTATTACTCAGACTGAAAATTAACCAGACCATAATCAAAAAGTAGAAATTTGATTTGCAATATTTATCTGGTAAACGTGGCAACGTTGCATTTATTTCTAGAAGTGTGTGTAGACAACACTATTTAGAAGTACTTACAACGTTGTCACGTTTACCAGATACATTTTCTCAAATAAAATTTGGATCTGGTAATATTCAGCTTGAGTAATACTAATTGTTTTTATTAAAATTTAAAAAAGGTAAGCCTTCCAGCTTTATCTGAAAATATAAACACATTATTTTAAAAAAATAATATTTTTTTATCATTTAAATTTCTTTAATAAATGCAGAAGAGGAATGGTGGTGCAATGATACATCCGACAACCGCGCCCTTTTAACTATTAACCGATACAACACCTGAAGGGAATTAGGGGTTTTCTGACGCAATGAGTCACTGAAAGAATTTTATGGGAATTCCCTTACTTCTAGCAAAAATATCTTAACGGGAAAAGTACCACCAGACAAAAGAGTTTAATATCTTTATAAATATATAAATAATTCACATTCAAAAATGAAAGTGAACGGGCCCATTATAGCATATTTAAAAATTTTAGTCAAATTTCACAGCACCGCCAAAAAAACTTTTTGACAATTTTAATGTGGCATTTGATTGTACACGATTTGTCCACGTTTGTCCAACCAAAATTTTCGTTTGTCCACCCTCCAAATCCATAATATTTAAAAAATAAAAGAAATAGTGCAGGTAAATTTTAGTGACAACCTTAATTCATTTTATACGAATTAGACACGACAATTGTTGGTCCACATATTATTTTCGTTTGTCCAAGCAAAATTTTTGTTTGTCCACCCTTCAAAAAAAATTATAGCATATTTAAAAATTTGAGCCAAATTTCACAGCATCGACATAAAAGCTTTTTGATAATTTCAAAGTGGCATTCGATTGTCCACGATTAGTCCACGTTTGTCCAACCAAAATTTTCGTTTGTCAACCCCCCAAAACCGAGATATTTAAAAAATAAAAAAATTTATGCAGGTGGTCTTTGGGGACAACCTTAATACATTTCATACGAATTAGACACGACAATCGTTTGTCCACACATTATTTTTGTTTGTCTAGACCTTAATTTCGTTTTTCCATTCAAAAGAAATAAGTTATTAACAAATAAAAAAATCAAACTATAAACAATTATTAATATAAGTACTTCTAATGGCAGTTTATTAAAAATAACTATTGCAAACGTTTGTCTACACAATATTTTCGTTTGTTCAGACCAAATTTTCGTTGGTCCACCCTTTAAAAAAATTATAGCAATTTTAAAAATTTGAGTCAAATTTCACAGTACCACCATAAAAAAATTTTGATAATGTCAAAGTGGCATTCGATTGTCGACACATTATTTTCGTTTTTCCCGGCTTTATTTTTGTTTGTTCAGAAACAAGTTATTAACAAATAAAAAATCAAAGTATAAATAATTAATAATGTAAGTACTTCTAATGGCAATTTAATAAAACTGACTATTGCAGTCGTTTTTTGGACTAACGGAAATTGGGCCTGGACAAACAAAAATATTGTGTGGACAAACGATTGTAATATTTAGTTTAAATAAATTGCCATTTAAAGTACTTATATTAATAATTTTTTATGGTTTAAGTTTTTAATTTTGTTAATAACTTATTTTTGTTGGAAGAAGAAACGAAAATAAGGACTGGATAAATAAATTAGTGTAGACAAATAATTGCCGTATTTAATCCGTATGAAATATATTAAGGTTGTCCCTAAAGACCATCTGCTTTATTTTTTATTTTTTAAATATCCCGGTATTGGGATGACATTGATTAAAAGAACAAATATCTTGTTTGTTACGTGTGCTATTTCGCCCTTGCGCCATTTTGTCCTGCGCTATTTTGTCCTGCGCAATTTTGTCATATCGCTATTTTGGCCTTGCGCTATTTTGTCCTGCGGTATTTTATCTGCGTTATTTTTCCTGTGCCATTTTGTCCTCCGCTGTTTTGTCATTGAGTCATTGAAAATATCCATTTTAAACAAAGTGAACATCATCTCCGTAGATAAGTAATATAATCTCTAAGGAAACCAATGTCTACGAGTTAAAAACGATTCAAAAATTCAATGGATTTTTATCAAATTTGTGGGCATCTTCTGCGAAGGTGACTAATATTCTATCCAAAGAAATTAATATCCAGGTGGTGAAATCCTCATTTTACTAAATTTCATGGATATCATCTCCGTAGATAAGTAATATCATCTCCGAGTAAATCAGTGTCCAGGTATTTAAAACGATTTATAAACAAATGAAATAATTTTTATCTTCGTCGATTACCGATATCCTCTCCACAAAAATCAGTAGCCAGGTGGTGAAATTGGATATATGCTAACCGTATGAACAAAAATATAAGCCCGTGAATTTCGCTTGAGATTTACTCCCTCATTATCTACAAGGGTACCTTTCACGTAACGCGTCCACTCTTTAGTAATAAAAAATTAAAACGTAACCTTTTATTCTCAAGTCGACTTTTTATACAATTTACTCCAATTTGATCCATCCCTAAATCCGAAACTTTCCATTTCAAACACTTCTCCTCTATAACCCCCTAAAATTACCGTTTTTAAAGCATTAGAACTTACAGGATAATTAGAAACGCCAAACGATTTTACGGGACCTTTGGAAATGTTTTTGACCATTGGTTTTTCTGGAACTCTACCCGAATCTAAAGAAACTTTCGATTTTGAATCTTTTGTTCGATCTTTCTTCGATTCCGAAGACTTTTGTCGCGATTTGGGATTGTTTTTTAGAGCTTTAGATTCTTTTAAAGATAGATTTTGTACCTTTTGGTCGCAGCGTTTTTTAACGTCTTTAATCAAGTGTTCTTCTTTCGGCTGCGATTCGGAATTTTGGGATTTTATGGATGTAGCCGAATACGTTCGTCTACTTGAATCGTCAGTTATTTGTGACGTGCAGTAATTCACGATCATGTCCGTGTTTTCGATTTTATCTTTTTCTGATTCGGCATAATTTTGATGAGAATTTTCGTGTTTTAGGCTATCGATTTCGAAATCGTCACTGTATTTTTCTTTATCTGAATCGTCGTCTTCAAAGTCATCGCAATAACAGTCTTTTTCCTTCTCTTCATTTAATTTTTCAGTTAATTCAAAATTATCGCAACAACAATCTTTTTCATCGTCTATTTTCTCTTCTTCGCTATTCTGTTCGTTCAATTCGAAATCATCACAATACTCTTTTTCATTTTCTACTTTCTCTTCTACATTTTCCTTTGTGCTTAATTCTTTTACTGCTTCTTCTCTTTCTATTCGTGTTTTAATTAGTTCTTCGTGTATCGCGTCTAATCCACATTTCTCTCTGCAAGCCGTGCTTGTCAATTCCAAATCATCGTTGAAGAAGGACGTTTGGGAACTTAAATTAAAAAAAAAATAGATTAAATTGTTGTTCAAATGTTAAAATAGTTGTAAAATAAATCAAATATTTGTATTCAGAAATCATTTTCCATAAAAGTTCCAGAAACATTTTTAACACGCGTGAAGAAAGGGTAACCCAAATTACTAGGTATTTTGGTAAGAGAAATAACAGTTTGTAAAGTCCATTTTATTATAGTAAAGAAATGAGGTGTCATAGATGACGACATACGCAGAAACCAAATTTTAACTTGTCTTTCTACGTCACTTAGCAACGACCGTACCAGTGGTTCATCGCGATCTTTTTCAAAGCATGCATAAATTAAAATAAACCTTTTTTTTATGAGTTAGTATTGTGTATGTTTGTTAAAAACACAAGGCGTTTTTAATCGTAAACAATAAACATACTGTGGGTACTGTGACGAAGTCACTAAATTTTATTTTTAATTAATTTTAAAAATGTATATTTCAATTAATTCCCGCCTGAGGACATGTAGAAGATACCCCGTATTTCTGTTTCCCAGGAATTACCGTTTTTCAACAATTGCGAGTAACCTCGTAGGTTAAAATTTCCTATATTTTCCGAAATCCGAATGAGCATTTTTAGAGTCGATTTCATATGAATTATCTACTTTTATTTGTTTAGGTACTAGAAGGATATTTTTTTATTTTTAAATTGTAAACAGTCGGCTGTAGTAGTGGTATCCCCCACTCGCGCTTACCGAAAAGCATAAATTCAATGACATCTGGGAATTACACTAACTTGCTTGCCAGCCGCCGTAAGCTCTTCCGCTTGATTGCCGACAGCCGAAAACTATTCGCCCTTCTATAGTGTCTAGTAAATACTCCGTGAATGCCGTGATTTCGAAAAAGTTCATTGAATAATCCCGTTTATCTTCTAAGGTAGGAACCGTATATTATTTTTTTTTTATTGACTTTTATATAATTAGTTGGGACACCCGTGCGACAAGTGAAAAATTTTGATTCATATCCAGGATATTTCATTTCATCCCTCAGTGGGAAACCGTTGGCATTTTTTTTATTTGAGGCTGGACATAGGCTAGACTCTGAGTGCTCTCATTGTCAACGACTATATCCAATCTCTCTTAGAAACCGCCCTGTTAACATTGAAGTGAGAGGTTCAACCCGTTTCCATTTTTGTTTATTATTTTATTTTCTTTTTCGGAGGTTCGATCCGTTTCCGAGTTAGAGTGATCTCTCTCCTGACAACGTTATCTAATTTCCCAAAAAGATGTCTAAATTAATTTACGCGCCTCACTTCATGTAAATTTCTTTTCTTTTATTTTTTTTATTTATTCAGCTGTATTTGAATCATTCCGTTCCCCGTCCACAACTAATTATTGAACGAAGCCGACGATTTCTGTAAAATCAATTCACACATCGTCTTGATCGCCTTTTGGCAAATCTCAAAATAATGTTTACGTTAACCATCACATTTTTGTTCCAAACACCGCGCTGAAAATTATCATTCTCGTTCAATAATAATTGCCAGAGCGTCGATCGGTCTAAGATACAGGGACGTTCCGAAAACTTTGATTTTATTTATTTGCTTGCATTTGATTACCGTCATATTTAAATTGTTTTCAAGTGTATTAATTTATTTTTAATAAATTTTCCGTATATAGGGAGTTTCATAATTCTCGGACCGCTTGGCCTCCTGTGCTAGCGAACCATAATTATTTCTTAATATTTAAATTGTTTTCAAGTGTATTAATTTATTTTTAATAAATTTTCCGTATAAAGGGAGTTTCATAATTTATTTTTAATAAATTTTCGGAATATAGGAAGCCGTTAATATTTAATTAGTTTTCAAGTGTAATAATTTATTTTTAATAGATTTTCAGGATACAGGGAGCCGGTTATATTTAATTACCGTTGTATTATTTTTTGTAAATATATATTTTATTTCCTATTCCTCTGTTTCTTATTACTGGTTCTTAACCGTTCTCTTTCAGGGTACCGTAGGGTACGAGGTGTAAAGGAGATAAGTGTTTTATTTTTATTTATTCTAGTATAGTGGCTACCTATCAGTGATTCATTGTAGGTGAACCAGAAGCCTGTCACAGTACACTGCTGTATCTACAAGAAAGTCTAGACACGCGCCACACATTATGTCACCATATTATTTTACAGCGCAGAACCTTACAGAAAAAAATACAAGCCTCCGGATGTTATTTTCACGTAAGCATAATCGCGTCATACTACAATAAAACGTCAAGAAAGATTACGTATATGCCGAAAGGTATATAGTAGGCGTGACAATAGCTGCGTCACAAACTGCGTCAGGTTAATTTCTACAAACGAGCCTTAACAAATTTATTCCATTATCGAATCTCTTGGAGTTCATAGCTGCAGGAATCAAAAGAATGCAGTCGTGAACAAAAAATAAATATTTCTGAGATATCTTGTATTCACAGTAAGTTGAAACCAAAAATACTTTGTATTATATATTGTCATTTGAATAAATTACTATAATAAACAAATCAATTTTCATCTACAAAACTTCAAAATCAGCATTTTAACAAAACCAACAGATAACAAATCCCCTTTCCAGTTTTTTTAAGTTTTTTAATATCTAAATGATAAATTTAGAGCTTCAAGTAAGGGATTTGGAGGTTTTAAAATAGCAATTTGTTAAATTTGATCATGTTTTTTTATGAAAATATGTAGGTATCTGGAGAGGAGTTCAGTGATATTCACCCACCATTTATCAACGTTAATATCGAGTATACTAACAAAATAGTCTGGTATTTTATATTTTAGGAAGATGTTTCTGATTGGCTGACACTGCTTATAGTCCTTAAATCTCTACAATAGGTCTGTTCCAACACTCGCGAAAACTGGATCTACTTTCCCACGATACACAAATACCGACATTTGCATTTTCCGTGCGTGATGTAACATGGAATCAAGCTTAGACCAGAAGGAATCAAGCAAACATTATTTGATTGATGAAAAAACTGGTACTGTAACGGCCTACCCCCTGTCCCTCTTTATTTTGATTTGTTCGCTATTTTACTCTCTGAAATGTTATTATTTACCTCACAAGTTTTACTTTACTTTAAATTCTTTACTTACTGTATTTGGTCTTTGGTGCAAATTGATAAATAAAACATACAAATTCATATTTAAACTCTTTTTATTTTTCATACTTTAAATGTGATGCAATAATAATTAGCAAAGTATATTACAATTGTTACTATTTACTGGGATCCCACTTGAGTCCCGTTCAAACGCAGACCATATTCATTTGCTATCAATATATATTTTATTTAAGTTGATGACCAACGGAGTTAACGAACAGCGCCAATTCGCCAGTTAGTTAACTACTGTATTTATGTTTATATTCTTATTCAGGTTGATGACCAACGGAGTTAACGAACAGCGCCAATTCGCCAGTTGGTTAACTGTTGAGTTGATGTTGATTCTATTCTAGATATACACAGGCTGCACCCTCTTAGGTAAATATTACGATGAGTATAGAGGTGATGACCAACGGAAGTAACGAACAGCGCCAATTCGCCAGTTAATTACCTTACTATGTTGATTTCACATATACTTTGTTTCAAACCTAGTAGAACGGGTTGCTTAGCGTATAGGTGTCCCCCCTTGAGCTAACGAACAGCGTATTCGCCAGTTGGTTAACTACTATTAGACTTTACCATCTTGGTTTGTACAATTTATCCAAGATAGCACATCTCTTGGCTTAAGTAACTACATATTTTTAAGGGTGTTCTAGAACATCCAAAGTGTACTTCCAATTTGGAGTGATCTTTCAGAATGTCATGACCAAGGATTATGTCTGAGCATACATTATCCATTACTAAGTGTTTCACATTTACATAAGAATGACTATTTACTTTTAGAGTTACAGTACATGTCCCCTTAACTTTAATAGTTAGATTTGAGGAAGCCATTGAAATAGTTTCGTGAGTTGGTGATGAATCCAAATTTTAAAACTATCGAATTGTTGAGAAAACTTAAACTACTACCAATGTCTATTAATCCAGTAAATTCTATTCCATTTATATGTACAAGTATTAAAGTTTTGCTAAGACAAGCAGTAGTCATAAAAGAAATAATACATCCTAAAATTTTTACGCAGGACATTCATATCTGGGATGGATTTTGTTCCCACAAAAATAGCATTTTCGACTTTCAAATTTTGATAAAACGGCCGTTAGGTTCATATTAGACCGATCACCAACATCGTTTTTCTCAAAACTTCTGGATGAAGGTGAAGGAAGAGCATTCATGCAGTGGACATTAGACAAGAATTTTTCAGAATGTGTCTGAGACATTTCTAGCGATAGCGCTTGTTTATAAGCTTCGTCTAGAGTTAAATTAGTGTTTTCTAAAAGACGTTGGCGGGTAGAACTTGAAAATAGGCCGCAGATAAATAGTCATTTTTATTTTGTTCTGCTGAGACACACTTAAAATCGCATTCGTTAGCCAGCTGATTTAATGACTGCAAATATAGTTTTACTGTCTCATGCGCTTCCTGACGTCTATATAATACCTAGCGTATAATATATTTTTCGGTTTTATGTACCTACATTTTTTCTAGTGTCAATGGCTGTCGCATAATTTTTGCTTTCGCATATAACTGAGAATATTTTAGGAGATACGTGATTTGTTAGTACCTGTAACTTTAGACTATCACTATCACATTCTTTATTTGCTAGGAGAAAATTTTCAAACGTTTGCTTCCAGTGCAGCCACTCAATTCCTGATGAGTCCAAAGATGGATCAGCTTCAAACCTTTCAGGTCTCAAGTACTTGTCCATAATGAAATGTAATAAAAATAATTTGCTGAATAAATTGTTATAAACTTATGTGAACCAAGAACTAATTGGCTTTATTCAGCAATAACTTCACATAAATGATGACAACTATTGACAAAGATAAATAACATATATAAGGTTATAATAAGGGTAATACCAGATCCACTGATCTGTATTATTTTACTGGATAGGATATAGGCTATATTTAACATACTGACAAATCGTTCCACCAATGGTGCGTTTGATTTGATCATTGGAGATCTCCGAGCGCTTCAAAAGTGTTTGAATTGACACTCCGAGAGATCCCTAAAGTGTTTGTTTCGCTTTGGAGCGAGAACATAGAGCGAGCTCGATGTTCTCAGAGTAGAAAGATCGAGAAGAGGGAGAAATTTGTCTGTCTCTACCTATCTCTTTTTAATTAACTTACAAACAAATTTGAATCTCAAAATTAAAGACCAGACAAGAAGTCAACAAATTACTTAGCCGCTTTTGTCTTAAAGCTAAAATTATTCATCATAAAAAAACACAAAATGTGTGTTTGGAAAATACATTTTTTCTGTCCAGATCTAATCACCAGTAATCACAGTCATGGAGTATGAGAGCGAAGCGGGCATTTGTGGTAAATGCTGCATTTCAGGGCCATTACCCCTTATTATTAAAAGTTTTTCCATTTTCTTTACTTTTTGCTCACTATTTTAACATACAAACCAGAAACAAGAATCACAAAAAAGCGAGGTTATGTTTTTTACTCTGTTTTATTTGATTTGATTCAATGCTCTATTGTGACGTCATCATTTCTCGGTCTTGTCGACGCTCGCTCGATCGAGTTTCAAATCAAACGCCCCTCAAGGAGACCGGTAGTGCAACAATGCTGGCCGATTTGGGCAAATTATGGTGGGTTCACAGAACTGAAATTTGGGATAATTTGACATACCTAACCTATAATTTGATTAGTTTTTCTTCTTATTCTTCTTCTATTCCTTTTGCGGGCGACGTCCTTCGGGAAATTTCACCCATGATTTGATTTTTTATGAAAGAAAATATAAAAATGGAAACGTGAAGCATATTGTGTCTTCAGGAATGAACGTTTATTGTTTATTTCATACTCTTTTTACTTTGTTTTCCACAATAAAAACATCTCATCGTAGCTTGTTGACACAATTTAATGACAAATGTGATGACAAATGGAAATAGAGGTTACGTTAAATAACATCCGGTCCGCCATATTATTTGCCCAAATCGGCCAATTTTTCGGAACGTTTTTTAGGGGGCTATATCCTATCCAAGATCAGTGACCAGATCTCTGGGTAATACAATTAATAAAGTTATACAAGGGGAACTCATATTACAACGTTATGACCATGACATCGACGCTCGACCAACCTATGAAGACTAGACCAACCTCAAATACAAACGACTTAAAAATTTTAAAATAAAATGCAAATATGTCAAAACTAAAAAAGGTAAGGTTATGTGGGGAACATGATGTCGCCACCAGAGATAAGGGAGATAAAGATAGGAAACGCCCATAAGAAGCCAATGCTTAACAACGACCAGCTTTATCGCAGTTAACATCTGACCCACTATGTGGCGTTTCATCGATATCAAACACGCAGCGGGAAATTTAAAAACCTGATAATAAAGGTTGCATAAATATTGACTGCACTCTCATGATCTTGTAAATAAACTTAAACAATGTAATTACGCTAAATTATTTATTAAAAAGAATACTACACTTACAGTATCTTATTTAAAAATGTTGAGTGCAAATTCAATAATGGGAATTCAGATATTTTTCTTCCTATATCAAATCTTCCTAACGTTTTATAGTATATTACATTACGAGTGTGGAAAGTGACATTTTTCACACGAGTGGGAAATATTGTCGCACGAGGCGTAAGCCGAGTGCGACTATCACACGAGTGTGGAAAATCACTTTTCACACAAGTGATGTACAATATTTTTCCTACGACCACAAAATAATTTCATCAAAAAATGTAAAACCAGATTATTATAATAATTAAAATGTATTTAAAAAAATAATCAACAATAATCGTATTTATTAAATTTTCATAATTTCTAAACAAATAAAAAAAAATTAAAAAAAAATAAAAAAAAAATTCTGGCACAGCCAGGATTCGATCGCGGTCGTTGGACGGTCTCAAATTGCAAAGTTGATGCTCTAACCAACTGAGCTAACAGGCCTTACGGTAATTGATTGATCTAATCGCTTATGTGTTTAACCAGAATAAAAAGCAAATATATCTTAGTTATTTTAAAATTATTTTAAAAATAATTGTTAAAGATAAATATCTAGGATCTAATTTACAATAATTTAACAATCATATCGATTTTAGTATTAATATGGACATTACATAGATCAAAATAGAAATTATGTGTTTGACATTTTCTGACAGCTACTGCGGAAAGTAGCATATTCTCACTTGGGTGGAAAGTAAATTCTTATTCATACGCGTGTGATATAGGGCACTTTCCATAGGTCTATATAGTGTGATATGTGTCACTTTCCTAAGGGTCGTAGGAAAAAGCCATTTTCTTGTTCTAAAACAATAAATAATACATAAACACCTACTTTGTGACAAAAGTTGATTACTATTTGTGTTACTTACATGAATAGATCTTACCTACTTTGGGTAATTAAAGAACGCCACATTGGGGTTGTTCAATTTGTTCATGTGGCATGTGTTACTAATGCAATACGTTCTCCGACTTATTGTAATATTACAAAATATAATTATTGTTCTTAAATTTCACACAAAAACAGCCACAACTATTTCGCTTATCTCTGGTCGCCACAGTTTCCAAGTTATTTTAACACTTTTCGATTGAATGGTGTAAAATAATGTAATAATTTATTTGTTTTTGTGTTAGTAGTGAATATATTTTCCTGTATATACCAGAGAAAAACTGAATTAATGTTTAAAATGCCGGGCTGCACGGTGGCGACTTGGAAAAACCATAATACGAAATCCAAAAATAGTGTAATGTAAGATATTTCCAAATGCCACAAAATGTGGATAAATTCTTATCGAAGAAAGGACAAACTATGAACAAACTTAATTTAAAAAATGGTTAGTAAAATGCACAAGTATAATAGGTTTGGAGACAGTGAAAAGTTTTTAAAATAAAAAAAAAACATTTTTTATTTTAGCATGAAGTTGCCCTAAACACTTTGAGGAAAGTAGCTGTGAGATTCCTCTTAAACAAAGACGCAAAAAATGGAAACTGAATTTCACCAGGTGCATTGGGCCTCATTAAACAAAGAAAAAACATAGGCATTTTAAAATTTTAGCAGTTAAAACAGTAGTTTTATGTCCCGATACAATGGTCCCTTTTGAAATAATACTATGCATGAGCAGGACACGAACATATATAAGAATAAAATACGTGAACAGAAAAATTGGTTTTGAGTATTTTCAAAGTAAACTTGACAAAAAAAAAATTTAACTTTACCAAATAAAAAGTAATTTTTTGTATATTTTCTTTTTATAAATAAATAATTTGTTTCTGCACTCATTTTTATTTTACAAAATAAGAAAAGGTTATGGATTTTGTCACAAAATACCTATAATTTATGAGAAAAATTAATATTTTCATTAGTATTATTTACCTTAAACCTTCATATTTGTAAACGGATATATTACAAAATAACCAATAAAACTGAATAAAATCTAAAACCGGCGAAATATCCAATTTCAAACACTATCTCCCATTAATGCTAATAATTCTATGTCCCATGTGACGTTAACCTCAGTCAGCTGCATGAGCAGGAACATACCGTCAGCACAGAATAACCTACCTATTAGGCATTCCAAACTGAATGGCTACCAGTGGGTTCTGACGGGTTATGATATGGCAAAATTATGACAACCCTGTAGGCCTGGTGATTTGACAAGGTCAATGAAATAGATAGTTACATAGATTGATCATCCATATTTTTCAAAATAAACATAAGCTTATGCCTTGAAGTAAAAATGTAAGCAATTATTTTTTTTAAATATCTAAAGGCTAAAAATTGGTTTTAAAACACATTTTTGCTAAACCGATTCAAATTAATAAATATTTGACAGGCAATATGGCCGCTCGTAAACGACCAGCTTTGAGCAATCTATATAACTATATATGTATCATTGACCCTGTTAATGACAACATGACAACAGGGTTGCTATATCTAAACTGTCATTACCCACTGGTAGCCATTTGGACAGGTCGTTGGAATGCCTAATTAGGCATTCCAAACTGAATGGCTACCAGTGGGTTCTGACGGGTTATGATATAGCAAAATTATGGCAACCCTGCAGGCCTGGTGATTTGACAAGGTCAATGAAATAGATAGTTACATAGATTGATCATCCATATTTTTCAAATAAACATAAGCTTATGCCTTGAAGTAAAAATGTAAGCAATTTTTTTTTAATGTATAAAGGCTAAAAATTAGTTTTAAAACAGATTTTTTCTAAACCGATTCAAATTAATAAATATTTGCCAGGCAATATGGCCGCTCGTAAACGACCAGCTTTGAGCAATCTATATAACTATATATGTATCATTGACCCTGTTAATGACAACAGGGTTGCCATATCTAAACTGTCATTACCCACTGGTAGCCATTTGGACAGGTCGTTGGAATGCCTAATTACAGTCTGTGTATCGTGCTCTCCATAAAAGACTTTGAGACGTCACTTTTTGAACTGCACGAACGTTTACAGTGACAGTTGAAAGCATATATATTTACTGTATTAAATATTTTTTACTAACATATTTTGAAAAATGGATGTAGAGATACAGGACGATGAAAACGAAGCCATAGATGCAGATCCAGATTTTTACAGAGGCCGTGGAGGATTCTTTAAATTTCCAAATGGAGACGTTTACGAAGGAGACTATATCGCGCATATTTCCGGAATCGTATGGAGAGAGGGAAAAGGCATTTATACGACTCAGGATGGACAGGTTTGTATTTTTCGTAAAACCAGGTCCTCCCTTTTGCGGCTAACTTTTAAAAAAAGTCCTCGGATAAAGCTCCAGAGCTCCTCTTATGCCCGGACCCCGGGAATTTGTCCCCCCAGCCCCCTCTCGTCGGGCCTGCAAATAGGGTATGTTTGTTTTAAAATTGTTAGATATTAATTTGGTAATTATTGATACAATTATTATTTATACCATTGGATTTGTAGGGGTTTGCTATTTAAACTGTAAGATATAGCCCATTGTAAGTTTTTAAATTGTCACAATGTACCTATATCTTCTAAAAAGTGTAGCTCGCAAACAGCATCATCTCTAGAAAGTGCTTTATTAGGAATGATATGCTGGCACTGTTCTACGCGTTTAGGATCCTATAAGAAACATTTACCATGACAAAATTGGGGTTCAACAAAAAAATAACAGTAGTAACTCTTCATCTAACATTAAAACTTAAAAAAAAAACAAAATATAATTTAATTTCTAGTAAGTTAAAGTCAGGATTTATGACTGTAAAATTTTATATTATAAAAATTTGTAATAAAATAAATTATACTCCATAAGATACGGGTTGTGACCATTTTATAATAAATATTATATTTAGAAATAAATACATTATTTTGCTTACACTAGGAGCTTTAAATAGTATATTACATTACGAGTGTGGAAAGTGACATTTTTCACACGAGTGGGAAATATTGTCGCACGAGGCGTAAGCCGAGTGCGACTATCACACGAGTGTGGAAAATCACTTTTCACACAAGTGATGTACAATATTTTTCCTACGACCACAAAATAATTTCATCAAAAAATGTAAAACCAGATTATTATAATAATTAAAATGTATTTAAAAAAATAATCAACAATAATCGTATTTATTAAATTTTCATAATTTCTAAACAAATAAAAAAAAAAAAAATAAAAAAAAAATTCTGGCACAGCCAGGATTCGATCGCGGTCGTTGGACGGTCTCAAATTGCAAAGTTGATGCTCTAACCAACTGAGCTAACAGGCCTTACGGTAATTGATTGATCTAATCGCTTATGTGTTTAACCAGAATAAAAAGCAAATATATCTTAGTTATTTTAAAATTATTTTAAAAATAATTGTTAAAGATAAATATCTAGGATCTAATTTACAATAATTTAACAATCATATCGATTTTAGTATTAATATGGACATTACATAGATCAAAATAGAAATTATGTGTTTGACATTTTCTGACAGCTACTGCGGAAAGTAGCATATTCTCACTTGGCTGGAAAGTAAATTCTTATTCATACGCGTGTGATATAGGGCACTTTCCATAGGTCTATATAGTGTGATATGTGTCACTTTCCTAAGTGGTCGTAGGAAAAATACTTTAACTTGGTTTCTCCTTGTGTTTTCTTTAGTTTTACATCTGATTTGTATCCTGTTTTACAACCTGGAACGAAGTAAATCTTGCTTTGATGTTTTTTGTCACTCATATTACTTGTACTCAGGTACTTTTTTTAAAACACTTTATTTCACATTTACTTAGATATAAAATAAACGTCACTTACGTACGACCCGCCAACTGCAGACAATTTGGCGAACTTTATAAAGAGAAGGACGGAAATTTGACCTCTAGTCTTCATAGTTTCTGCATAACTGATTTCAGATAAACGAAGGTTGAGCCGTTTGATTTATTATTATAAATTTTAGGTGTATTCAGGAATTTGGTACAACGACGAATTAAAAGACACGGACGAAGTGGAAATTATCTACGCAGATGGTACTAAGTACGTGGGACATGTAATAAAAAACCAGTACGCAGGTTCTGCAATGTATGTCATACAGGACGGCCTATATATTCTCGGTAATTTTGTCGATAACAAACCCGAAGGAGAAATGTGTCTGCTCGATGTCAAAGGACGCGAATGGCGAGGTAAAAAATTATTATTAACATTAATGATTGCAAAAATTTACAATTTCAGTTCAAATAATTTTTTCTTATGAATACCGTTTACATATAGAATTGGCAATGTGGTATCGGGATAGTATCACAAGAATAAATTTAGGTTTGTTCCAACAGCAGTATAAAACCGCATGAGTAGGTAGTACGAAGAGTAAAAAAGTTAAATCGTATTTCTGATGCGAAGATAAATTCAAGACGGTCCTGCACTGCTAATGGAACAACCCTCATATTTAACTAGACGGCTGTCTTTGATCACATGATCGTCGAGGGCTTTTAGCCTTAGAACGTTATTCCAAACAGAAACTTTCAGTGCAATAGCGACTTACACGGGAGGAGGTATCATAGTGTTGTGTTAAGTATAAGTGCTAGAATACCGTTCTTGTACTTATTTGATGGAATTTGAAATCTAATAATTTCAATCTCAACTTTAAAACGTCATTTTGCACTTACATCCTTTTTGCACTAATCGATTCAATTAGATTCTTATTAAATTAAAATTATGAATTATTTTGAGAGTTACTTGTTTAATTATCAATTGGTTAATCGGTTTGGTACCCAGGACTGGGCTAGCCTGATCTATTAATGTTATATGTTGGAGGTATTTCCAACAGCTATTATTAAGCACAAAGATCATTTAGTGATCGTGAGTTCTGTTTGCCTTATTTTTAGTATATTTTTCTACTTACGTTTAGGTAGCTACCTATTTTTTTATTTTAGTGTTTGAAGTTTATTAGGCATTATTTTTAGCAAGGAAGGCAGCTAGTAGTTATTTATTAAAACTGATAAATCTGAAAATAAATTATAAATATTGAGAATGGCATACCTATATGATAAAACAAAAAAGATATAATTATCCTTTTGTAAACTCAATTCGTGCGCACTTCTATGGTTCCCAGTGGTACGCATAAATAATAATATTTAATATTCTCTAAAAATCATAACTCATAACCTCCAATCTTTATTTCGATCATCATCCATCCTTCCACACTCCTTACTGGAGATACGAGGTTTTGTAGAAATTTATATCAAGATCGCATGAAAGCAGAGAGCGGTGAGGATTGTTCTGATGGAAGTGAAGTATATTATAATTACTAGCAAGTTTAATATCCTTTTTAAGTTTTATCGAACATTATCAATTATTGAAAAATGGCGATCTATCTACAAACATGTCGAAAAAGGCTGATATTTCGGTTGAAAAATGTTTAAATGTATTTACTCTTATATGTATTTTTGAATGTAGTGCAAAAATATAAGTATATGTATACTTACTTAGAAAAATAGCTGTAAAATGAGGCAGCAGTTTGTTTGGAATCTAAGAGAACAAGGGAAGAACATTTCTCTATAATGACAATAAAACTAAAACAAATAATTCTCTTTTTGTAAACTAAATATGAGAACACATTATTGTATGGCAGAAAGCTTGTAAATCATAAATATAGATACTCAAACAAAAAATAAAAATATTTTCGATTGGAAATGTTGTAAACTGTGGAGATACGACATTTTGTAGAAATTTGTATCAGGTTCACATGAAAGTACAGAGGAAAATTGCTCTGATGAGTACTGGAAGCAGTTGGAAGTATAAGATATATAAATTAATATACTTTAAACAATGCTATTACCTATACGTATACAATAACACACTAATCTCTAAATTGTGGAAGTTATTACCAGGGCCGTGCATAGGGGGTAAGGCCGGTACAAATAATATTGCCGTCTTTGTTTAAAAATCGCGCTTGATGTAATACCATGCCGACGCATATTTATTTTGTATATTTTGTGCTATTTTATGTAATACTCAAAAGCAATTATGTCTTTTTTTGTATATAATAACGACTTTTGGGTAAAAATTTGGGCGTAGCACTCAAAAACTGTGGTGAGCACTACCTTTAAAGGGGGTCCGTCGTAATGGTTGTTCTGGGACCCGCACGAGCTCTGCACAGCCTTGATTATTATGAAACCAAACGTTGTAATATATATACACTATAGGTATACTCGGACAAAATATTGAAGAAGGTGATTCCTCCCTGTCCACGTACAATAATAATACTATACCAGAGCATAATGAATAGAATCACGCGCTTAAAACTGCAGAAGTTATCGGTATCACGTGCCAACTAGTCATAAATGCATGTTTATTGCCAAAATGAATTACGCCAGTGGCGTATAAAAACTATTGGCAAATTAAATGCGGTAATAGTAAATAATATTATATGAAAGAAGGTTGGTTATCTATTTTTGTAGAAATAATCATTTATGTTTATAATTTTGTTTTGTTTATTGTTAAAATATGTAAATATTATGCCAGTGGCGTAGAAACACTATTGGAAAATTAAATGGGGTATTATACTAGAACAAAATATTGAAGAAGGTGCACCTTAAAAGTGCAAAAGGTATCGTTATCATATCAAAAAGCACTCTTCCAGTGTCGCAGAAATACTATATTGGCAAATTAAATGGGTATTTGTGAATATTACTAGATGAAAGTAGGTTGGTTATCTATTTTTGTTATAATAATTCATCTATGTTTATAATTGTATTTTGTTTATTATAAAAATATGTAAATTAAGCTTGGTATCACTTACTTGAATTCTAAATCTATGAAGTTTCGTAATCCATTGATTCTGCAGAACTATCACTGGAATCGTCTTTATCGTCGGAACTTAAAGTTATGACTAAAGGTTCAACTACCGTTTCGATCATACCGTCCAAGCGCCACATATTATTTTCTTCCATAATTACATGGGAAATAGCATTCTGCCAATCTTCAGGTTTTATACGTTCTATACCGGTTTTTAATAAACTTTGAACGTCGGCTATTTTAAAAGTTTTATTTTCTCGAGCTACAAACCCTTTCACTTGCGCCCAAATTAGTTCAATAGGATTGAATTCGCAGTGATAAGGGGGAAGTCTTTGTACCGTAATACCACGATCACGAGACATTGTGTCGACAACATATTGAATATATTTATGGCGGTGTTCCTTTATTAGGTCCATTAATTCCACTTTAAGCAACTCCTCAGTAAATGTTATTGCTTTATCCCGCAGCCAGGTTTGCATATCCGCTTTCCTACTGGACATTATCGGAATGCGTTCAACTCGTCGACTGTGATAAGAAGCGTTATCTAGTACAATAACTGAATTTCGTTCTACACGCTGTAATACTTCAGTAAACCATTTTTCAAAGCATTCCGCATTCATGTCCTCGTGGTAGTCTCCTGTTTTTTTCGATATAAACACAAGAGCGCTATTTTCCAAAAATCTACTGTCACTTCCGATATGGGTAACAATTAGGCGCTGTCCTTTACCTGATGATGTTTTCAAACCTGTAGATAATCCCTCTATAAAAGCTTGGCAATGACTAGTTACAGAAGTATCTTGCCATATCTTAGATACCGTGTGTCCAGCATTCACTCACGTTTCATCGAGATAGTACATCTTTTTTTTAGCGGCTCTAAACTCTTTAATATTTCGTAAATAACGCCGTCGCCAGGACACTATATTTGACCTCTTAATTAAAATTGATTTCCTACACTGTTTGACAAAACAAAATTTTAGGCCCCATAAAATTTTTCGTAAAGTTTCACGACTCATTAATGGACTTTCTTCGTTTTCTCTTAATTTCGTAAGAACAACTTTAAGTGTTGGGGCTTTGTTTTCGAAAAAAAAAAAAAAAAAGAATGTACAGTTCTTCGAATGATTTGTTTTTGGTTATCAACAATTTTCGACCACGGGAATGCATTTTAGGGGCTTCTAAGGAGCCTTTTTTGTCATTTCGCGTACAATACGTTCAATTGTTGAAACAGATACTCCAGTTAAAACAGAACTGTGGTTTACAGCTTCATTTGTAGGAAGTGTCTGTTTCAGCCCATCATACACTTTCCATATAATGTTCTTTTCATCCTTTGATAAGGGCTTTCGCCGACGTAATTGGGTTTCACTTGGACCCGCCTCTGAATCCATTACTATTGTAACAATATAATTCTATTATTAAATTGTTTTTATTAAATTTATGAAGACACCAATATTTTACTATTTAATAAACTTTTAAAGTACCTACCTAATATACTACACAATAAATATAACTCCTCGAATATGCACTACCACTACCAAATTGTAAGGCACAAACATGAACACCTACTCGTATATCAGAAAAGAGCACTTATACAAAAAAGTGTTTATAAAATATAAAATAATTATCGTAATTAGTTAAAGCGATACAAATCTAACTTTGTCGAAAGTTAGTTTTCAACTGTCTTTGTGCATGTGCTGATAATATTCAATATGTAACCCGTCTGTCGTTTATTTACTTGAAACACATTTTAAAACCATTAAACACAGATAACGAAGTCAGGGAATAAATATATTCATTTCTTGAAAACTATCAAAAACGTATATTTAACGCATCATCTTTGTTTAAATAAAGATGTTGACAAACAAATTTAATAAAGTTTACTAACAAATACCTAATAAATAATTATTTAGTATTTGATACGCCGCCTATGCTAACTGTGTCGGAATTTTCATTTATAGACAACAGTGTTGATCATGCATATGACTCACCTTCTCCAATATTTTGTCCGAGTATAGTTGGTCTTTATTCGCTCCGTGCGTGAGCAGCGCCAACTAATCTATGAATTATTAGAAGATTCGCGTATATTGACAGTATAATTTTTAATAGAATTCGTAATTAAAAAATATATATTTTGTTTTTAATAATAGAATATGGATTTATAAAACAAGTGAAAGTTTAATTTATTATTATACAGGGTGGCCATTTAAAAATGAAACAGAGCCAATTTTGGGCATCCCAGGTCATTTACGAAAATTGGGAAATATTTTTTTTTTCCAGTTCCATCCCCTGAACGGAAACCTTCTAGTAGGAGTGAGACTCACCCCTAAAAAGTTAAATGGAAAGAGGGGTCGAATTATATTTTATTTTGAAGGTATTTTTACCTAGATTATAATCC